TGCTTGGAATATCATTGATGCATGTCAAAGCATTGGTGCTTGGAATATCATTGATGCATGTCATTGCATTGGTGCTTGGAATATCATTGATGCATGTCATTGCATTGGTGCTTGGAATATCATTGATGCATGTCATAGCATTGGTGCTTGGAATATCATTGCTAAACTATGTAACATGTCATAACATGCTGTAGTATGTCATAACATTGCTGTATGTCATATCATTGCTGCTTATAATATCATTGATGCATAGCACTGATGCTTGTAATATCATTGCTGCTTATAATATCATTGATACATAGCACTGATGCGTATAATATCATTGCTGCTTATAATATCATTGATACATAGCACTGATGCGTATAATATCATTGCTGCTTATAATATCATTGATAAATATCATTGCTGCATATAATATCATTGATGCATGTCATAGCATTGGTGCTTGTAATATCATTGCTGTACTATGTAACATGTCATAACATGCTGTAGAATGTCATATCATTGCTGCTTGTCATATCATTGATGCATAGCACTGATGCTTGTAATATCATTGCTGCTTTTAAGATCATTGATAAATAGCATTGATGCTTATAATATCATTGCACCTTGTCATATCATTGATGCACAGCACTGATGCTTGTAATATCATTGGTACTTGTCATATCATTGATGCATGTCATAACATTGATATTTGCAATATCATCAGTGAATATCATTACTGCTTATACAGGGTGGGCCAAAAAAACAATACCTGAGTTTAACGATAAATGGTTCATATAATATACCTTAAACCATGCCATGTATTATTTTAAAGATAAATCATTTTCTTATAAAACACCATCTGATAGAAAAACCTTTGTTTTCTTGCAGAGTGAGAGCCTAAAATTAACTATTGAAATGCTTGCAATATCATTGGTGCAAGCAACAACATTGATTGATTTATACAATATCACTGATGCTTGCAATATCATTATTGCTTACATTATCATTGATGCATGCAGTATCATCGATATGCGAGTATCATTGAAAGATGTAAGCAATATCATTGGTCCTTATAACATCAATGATGTTTGTGATATATTTCAATACAATCTCTTATACAAGATTTTGAAATTATCTCGGTGAAATGTACCCATCAAAAAAATATGAGCTAAATTGCAAATTGTATGAGAGACTGTAGCATTGCACTCGTCAGAATAAGTTATATGACAAATAAGATCTGTTTTGCCTTATTAAATGCAAAATAAAAACTAAAGACTTGTGAAATTGATTCGAAATGTCAGTTAAATAGAGCCGAAATACTGAGAATGATTTGATATTTGACAACATGACATTAATAACATAACATTAATAACACGACATCCCAGGGATATGATCCAAGTTGTAATATAATTATTGAAAGGAAGATTGATAGAAGAAGCACGCGGTACTAACTCACCGGGCCGTATCGAAACCAAAACGCCCCGCAAAACCGTTAATTTGAATTTTAAACCTACCCTTTCTTTGTGAGTGATGATTGTGAGTCTCACAGTTCACTGTTTTTCTTCAAACTTGTTCCATTAAAACCTTCACAGAAATACCTTTTACTCGTTGGCGTTGTGGTTGAAATCTCTGAGGATTTGCAACTTCTCACATCTGGGGACCAAAATGCCCCGAAAACGAGGGACTTTGTAAACAAAACCAATGTAGGTATTTCTGTGAAGGTTTTAATGGAGCAAGTTTGAAGAAAAAATGGTGTAGTGTGAGACTCACAATCATTGATTTTCCAAACATAGATTTGAAATTCAAATTAACGGTTTTGCGGGGCGTTTTGGTTTCGATATGCCCCGGTGAGTTAGTACCGCGTGAGAAGGCATCAAAAGTGTCATTCAACATTTACATCAAACAGAATTGAATATCAATATGATCGATATAAAATGTAGTTGGGTGTACTGTGTACATGTATCTTGCAACCTTGGAGGAACATAAAAAATATAAATTGTTTTCCTGCTTCCTTCAAGAGGATGATCATATTAATCACGGGGAGTCAATAATCTGATAAATAGCTCTTGGCTGTATAATCAATCAATTGAAGAATGCCTTTGAAGAATATACCTGCGACAGAATTACCTTCAAGTTATGATTGGTCACACTAGGCAGGTCCTACCCAGGGATTCAGGGTTTCTCACCAACTTGGCCATAGATTCTTTCAAAATCATGCATTTTTCACAATTCTGAGCACTTTTCCATTGATTTTGGGCCAAAGTTGTTAGATGCGAACCCTCTGGAACTTTTGTAAAGTAAATCCCCTTGACAAAAACTGCTATATACATTGTACATGAAGGAGGAGCCAGATAACTGATTCAATATTTTCAAGACAGACACAATTAAGTGTAATGACGAATTCAACCTACTATAAACTTCAGGCCCTGGATCCAGCACTGACTTTTTCTGGCAAATGTAGATAACTCAAAGAATGATAAAGGATACAAGATAAAACCTAGGACTTGTTTTTGTTTCTGCTAAAAATGAACAGCTCTTGCAAACATACTCCTGCTGAATAACTTAATCAAAATGTTTCATTTAGATTGAACTATAATCCCTATTTAAATTCAATTTATGTTTTAATTTCCATCTAATATTTTTGTGTTGATTATGGAGCTGTCACATTTAGGTCATGTGGCTCACCGTTCACCACCGTGTATATACTTTAGGGCCGACAGAAGGGCAAATAGTTTTATAGCAAGATATCCCCCATCGCACCAAATAAAAAATTAATTAATCAAAAAATGAATGCCCCAAATTAAACAAGATTATACAAATGGATTACACATCCACAGATGATCATAAATCATGCCAGTGAGCAACTTACTCACAATAATGCAATACCTTTGGGTAAATACTTAGTTAAACAAGCTTTCTATGGAAGCTTGAAAAACGTAAGGATAATGGAGATTTATCTGCCAAGAAATGGAGCTCATTGTTAGTAATATCTTTGCGTCTATCTCTACTGAATATTTACTGCATTAATAAACTTCCACAATATGTTTGGTACAATGAAATATCTACATTCATGGGAGTTTTGGAATGTTCTTGGAGATAAACGTCAAAGACTTGAGCAGTGCTAGAGAATTGTAAAGGTGCTAGAGACTATATTAAGAGCTTTCATCGGTGATTCAAATAATTTGAGGAAACAGGATGAAACAAAGATGTTGAAAATTGATTTTTTTATAAACCAGTGTTACATTTATGGGAAATATGTTGAAATATGGTCACTACTAGGGCCGGAACCAACTATGAATTTCGGAGTCGACTAGTTGAGGTGTCTTAGTTGAGTCATCATCGATTAGTTGCCCCCTGGCTTCGGAAAAAATAAAAATAAAATATTTCCTTTATCTGTCATCAGTTTTTGCCGCATTTACAGATTTGTTTCTCCTAGTACTCTGTTTCTTGTATAAACAATGTATCAAATATAATAAATCGATCGTTTTTAAAGTTTATATTGTGTATTTGTGTTGTTTTATGCAATAATTCAACTAGAATTTATCATTGTTGTAAATAAACGTCTTCTTCTATTTACTTCCGCTGACCTTGACCGTTACCGGAACTACTTAGTTTGAATTCGCGCAATATTTAAATAAAATGTCAAACTCAAAAGGGAAGTCTCCCATATGTGAATACTTTACCCTAACGGTCACGGGTGATCATTGCGATTTGCGATGGCACATATACCCATATTGCATGATAGCACATTATAAAAATGATAAATGTGTGGGACTATATTCTTGCCAATTAAAAATGAAGTGCTTCGGCGGCCTTTAATTGATCGCTAAAAGTAAACTTTTTAAAAGTTAAATAACTTCAATTAGTATCGAATAAAGAAGTGAATCTGTTTATAGCATATGTTTGAAGTGTTTTGAAGAGTAGAAACATGCATTTTGGGCTGGATAAGTAAGGAAAATACATAACAACATCACAAAAATGAGGTGAGTGAACGTTTATTTATGAACTTTTCATCACAATTTTTCCCAGGGATATGTCTTCGACGATCGATTTTTCCAAATCAAAGTCGACTATCAGCCCAACTTTCGTCGTATCCAACTAGTTAGACTAATCGTTCCGGCCCTAGTCACTACACAGCAAAATATTAACAAGTTGACAATTTGTTGTATGAGTCTTACACATGTTGCCTCCTCTCCCAGTAACATACACCTTCTGTACAAGGAAAGGAAGTAGATAATAGAAGACTAAAGGCTCAATGTAAGACTAAATCTCCTGATGTCTTGTGTATTTTTCAAAAAATATAAAAAACTGCTATCGTTATGTAAATAATCCTGCTAGTGTCAAATCAATGCACTGAATCAGGCACGTAACATAATGTTTATCGCTCATTACTAATGTATTAATGATTTACTAGGTTCTTGTGACCACAAAACAAGATGTATGTAGGTAGGCATTTGGAATCTATTTGTTTACAAAAAACATGTATAGTTTTGATAAGGATAATCATCAGGATGAAGAATGGCCAAGATCTAGTGACGTCATACAATTTTGGATTTCTAAGGTATGAGGTTCCAGGATGAAGAAAGTATGATGACATCCAAAGGGTATTCTTATTAGATCTTTCTTAATAGATATACAATTGTATTTGAGAAAAGCTTTAAACAATATACTCTAGTCATGTTTCTATGGCATTTCTCAATTTGAACACAAGAATCTATAGTTATCTGCAATTGATTATTCCTATATTTTTCAAAATCTTGCTCCAAAATAACATTTCTATTGAATTTTGTTGACTCTACTATGCCTGTTTACTGATTTCTTCTAATCTAAAATATAGTACCTTTTTATTATTTAAAAGGTAATAATAGGAACTTAAATACTCTTGGTGTTTAAATGTTCTCAAATAGCTTGCATTGTGGCATCTCTTTCTACCCTTACCTCGGATGGATAGTAGGATGGGGAGGGGGTGCTGAGACTAGATGCAAGATGGCTGCCCTATTTAAAGTGAAACTCACCCTCTTTGGAACAGGTCCACATTGTAGAACTTGCCCAGCTCCACGGAGAATTCAACGGTTGCCTGGAGCTCTGACATCTCCCTAGTAACCTGGCCTGGAAACAAACAAACGCTCGATTTTAGCGTAGAATATGCGCCATTTATGGAACATGTATCCCATGGTGCACACACAGATCCACATTGGAGCGTATTAGCTGGAGCAAGTAAACTGTCCACTGTAACAGTCCTCGCGACTCCATCATGCATTATAGCATATGCAGTCTCTTTAGTAGGCATTATAGATACAGTCTTTGTGCATGCACTGTTGTTTTCAAGTAACATTAACATTTTTGATCAAGTTTTTGTCTTTGCGAAATGACCTAGTTGTCTAAAGTACAGTAATTAAATTGTTTTTTCAAATTTCATCAGATTTCGATTTCAAATCTCCGCATTTTGTTTTCAAATCTTATCCGATTTTATTTTCAAATCTCATCACATTTGATTTCAAATTCCATCACATTCCAAGTTTTTATGATGTACTAAGGTAGCATACAATGTACATGAAGTCTGTTGGAAGAACCTTGACTTTATTCTTGAAGAAGCATACGTTGATCTATTCTTGCTTTATGGCAAACACAGGTGTGTGTGTGAAACAATTTCAACTCATCAGACAACGTCATATATCAAATTTCTCACAGACTTTTATTCTCTGTTTAATCCATACTTCAATAGATTTAAAGAATCAGTTCATTATATGTGTTTCGTTTCCTCTTTTTATCATGTTTTTCTGATTTTTGATCAATCTGTAATGTTCATTTTCTCATCTTCTATATTCATTTAATGGTTTAGCCTTTTGATTTTAAAATGTCCATAATCTAAGAAACCATTTCAGCCAAACTAAATTATTTCATCAAAAATAGTTCCATGTCATCGAAATCAATTGGCTTTTCTATGAATTCTTTCTTATACGGCAATATTTCAGAAAATATTCTAGATTGTCTCTTTCTGTGTAATATTTTGGAGCAGCTCATTTCGAAGATAAACAATAATTTGTTCTGGCTCCATAAAACAAATATTTTGAATTGCCAGAGGTTATCCAGGGGTATTCTCCAAGACAAATGAACAGTCAGAATGTCATAAAGTATCTTATTCACATTAGATTTATATCTTAACTCTTACATTAATCATTTTCTCCCATTCTAAAACAAGCTAAAATTTTAAGATAGTGGTTGAAAATATGATATTTTCTGTTGAGTGGAGATAGAAGTAGAACCAATGAAATTACGATAACATAACATAAAAGTTTGAGTTTTTAATTCTGATTTGAAATTTTGAAGATTTTAGACTTAAATTAATATTGCAAGGAATAATACTAGGAAGATTCACTCAGCTAAATACTATTGTCTCAGCTGCACAATTAGATTACTCATTAGTCCAACCAATAAACTTTTATGAAATTACCAAATTAACCCTTCTGTCAGAATGGATGTTTCTTATTTAATATGGAAATGATTAAAGATCTCAAGGGTTAATGATTAAGATATTTGGGGGTTCAAGATTTGATCAATTAATTTCAAGGAGAGGCAATCAAGTGGAAATAATATCATTTTGATTATGATAATGAGTTGATACCACCACCGCCCTCCCCATTTACTATTATGACAACCACTGAATCTAATGTCATGTGAAATAATACAAATGGTATTTATTAAATTAGTCATGTGAATAAGCTTTAAATCACACATGTTTAATACTTTATGTCTTTTACCAACTATGATGTCATATCAATGACATATAATACAATATACAAAATTAAACTTTTTTGATGTGAAAGTTCGTGGCAGATTAAAGAAATAGACCTGAAAAAATTCACATTGAGAGCTGTTCATATTGAAGAGCTGTTCAAATAAACAGGTTTCACTGTATACTAAACTAACAACAAGATACAAGTCAATTGTTGCAAAATACAACATGACTAAATGTAAAAATCATCAGTGTTGTTAATAAAATGCTTTAAACATACAAATAAATCAATAGGATGCAATTTTTCAAATATGATTATTATATGCAATAGTTGTCTTTGTCATCATTCTATTACATTCTACCATTGCTTTACTATTGACTACAAATGCAAATAAAAAGAATTCAAACTTTGAAGCAGGTACTGCCACTTATAACCACAGCCCCAACTATTTCCTACACAGTATAATGTTGTCAAATCATTGGTGATTGACCCTCTAATCAAAATAATTGGCTACTTGAACTTATCACCTTGATAAATCATACTGAAGGGACGAGATCAATATGTAGATGTGTGACATGCGGCATTTTATTGATATAATCATTGTTATATGAACTCAAACTAAGCCATTTCTTTATTGGGAGGGGTCAATTCGTGGTACAGTTTAACCCTTATGTCCAAACATCTGTCAATCTGAACACTTTTAATCAATCAACATTTTGTTACCTCCCATTGACTCACATATTAAGTGTGGTACCTGCTAAACATTTTTAACTGTCCAAATGGATTTTGGGCTAGAAAGGTTTTACTGTGTAATAAATTATTTTCCAGGTTAACATCAAAATATTGACTTGGTCCCCAACATGTTTAGTAAGAAATTCAACAAATGGTTCAAAATAAAATAAAAAAATAATTTGGCTCACCGGAAATTAGTTTGTCCAGTTTCTAAATATAGCGAGGCTTCACAGGGTTAGGACGATCTGACAAAGTACCGATACTTAACATCTCCCCAATGGAATACAGCTATTAGTATGCAGATATCGAGATTTATTCCAATAAAGTTACATATAACAGCTACATTGGTATCATTTTGGTAAACTATGCATTTGAAAGAGGAAATGGCATAGAGTCAGTCTCAAGTGGTTAACTGCACCACTATCAAATATATTAAGGTTATATTCTCCTGGCTTTTTCTTTAGAATAATATATAGTATTTTTCTACTAGGCAATTAAAGTCAAAATTTTGAATTAATTTAAGCATTTGGGTGACCATTTAGGAGTTTCAAAGGCAAAAATCATAACAAAAACAATTTACAATATTTGAGATCTACTGTGGTATAATGTTAGGCTACCATTTCCATTTTATCCAAGTTTTAGTCTTGGTTCAAGTCTCTGGACCCCCTTATCTACGTCACGGCCATTTATGATTTTTGCCATTAGCTGTATACCTAGTGTACTTCTTACCTCAATCTATTCTAACATTTACTTGTTACATCCTCCCTATGTGACAAAAGTTTCGGCATTCTCATTGAATCAAAAACTAGAGTTGAGATTGCCAAAACATTTATTACTGGGGAAGAATATTGCAAATGAAAGTCAGAATCGACTGACGTAAGAAGTAAGTTTACAGTAACTAGTGCCACAAAAATATCAACTTTTGTTGAAATGTTATATAGGGCTGAACCATACATCCGCATGACTAGCGGTGTCACAGTCCAAAATTTCAAGACGGAATGGTAAAACTGGTCTCACTTTCGGGATGGGACGCCATACTGATAATGCACTCAATCTACGAAAGATGATGTAGGAAATTTATGAATGGGCATTACCATCTACCTAAAATCGCAGCTCTGCTACGAAGAAGTGTAGTCGAGGTACAGTCGGCATGCCGATAGGCATCAGCACAGTTATCTGAACTGCATTCCGATCGGCACTGCCCATTTTTCCATCTTTTTTAAATTCCAATATGGCAGATGGCCGAGAAGGACACCCCAACAAATTTTCCAGAGGAAGATGTATCAATTCAATTTTGGTCATTTCTTGGGTTATTTGTCTGTTTTCACACTAAACTCTAAAAAGTATGCTGTTCGAAAATCAAAAAATCCATTTTCTGAAAAAGTTCATATATTCCTTATAAATCATTCAGCCTACTTACATTTGATGATTCACCAAGTTTTTTGGTCAAGTGTTTTTATCCATTTCATAGCTAGGAACAGAAATACTCAAAAATTGATACGAACTTCGAATTGAAGGACAGGTCAGTCATTTTCTACAGAAAAATTCTTATTGCCCTGTGTTTGAGTGACGTCAGATTTCCAAATATCGGCGAGTTTATCTAACTAAAAATGACATTTATCTTGACTTCGTTCAGTACAAAGACCAATTAAAGAAACAATTAGTATAAATTTGTCAATCCCGGGAACTGTAGGGATCACATAACAAGTCATGTATCTGTAAAAAAATTATTAACAGCGGGGTGCCTGCTGAAAGAAAGATGGCAGCGTTTGATATATATATACCTTGTCCCCAGAGGGGGAGAAACACCAGGGTTCAAAGATGACATACGCTTATAATGTAAATCTGTATTGAGATGACATCGTCGCTGATTGGTCAAAAGTCGACAAACAAATGACGTCATCAATGGCCGTTTTAAAATTTTCGAAATACACTTCGAATAATATTATGTTCATTTCTGGCGTGTTAACCAATATCATAGCTTCTCATTTCACATCAAGATAAAGAAAGGTGTACGGAATATGCCTATATCAATTAAAACATCCCATCGAAGTGAAGTATTTGATAACTAGCCGATGAAAATTCGAACGAACGAAGGTGGTACGCAAGAGAGGTAACTATGTCTGTCATCTTTAAACTCTGGGGCTTTCCCTCCTCTTCCTTGTCCCCTACGTTTCGACGAGTCCATTTGCTGATGACGTCATTTTCTTAGAATCTCTTCCATTTTGGAATTTGAGACAAATGCGAGGGAGAATAGAAATGATTTGCGTGATAAGAGAGAAGGGGATTCCTATTCAATTTCCTGTGATTAACTGAGAAAAGGTAGGTGGCGCTAGATAAGGCATCGGCCAAATTTAGTATATATGGAGGGAAAACTTAAGAATAAGGCAAAATGAGAGAATAAATAGATTTTTTGATTGTCGAACACCAAGGTGTTTAAATTATAAGTATTATTATTATATTAATACTGAGGATGAGAAAGACCAAAAAATGACCCAGTAGACTACCAAAATGAACTTCATACATATTCCTCTGGAAATTTGTTGGGGTGTCCAACTCGGCCATCCGCCATTGAAAAAAGTTGAAAAATAAGCAAAAAAAAACATTTATCATTTCCAAGGTATGTATACCAAATCAGCTAAGTGTGAATAGAAATATATACTGTAAAACGGGTAATTTTGACACCGGGAAATTTTAGCGATTTTTCAATTTTAGGGGGTTTTAGCGCGTCGGGAAATTTTAGCGAAATGAAGATTAAACTTTAAAAAATCAAATTAGCGAAATGCATTAGAAATTTTATCATTTATGGCAGAATTTAAGCAATATCATTGGTTGTTGAACCGTGTTCAATTAACACCTTTTATCTTTATATTTACTACTAATACTATTTCACTGATGGATGGCTATTTATCCTTCAGATATTGAAAGAAACATACGATTTAAAAATATTTACCTTTTTCATATTACAAACCGGAAGTCGAGCACTGAACGAAAAGCTCCTTAAATACTAGTATTCATGTAGTTTCCCGGGAATTTGCAAATTTTAGCGCCCGGTTTATTTTAACCCCGGTTTATTTTAGCGAATTGAATTTTTAGCGAAACTATAGCGATCGCTAACAATCGCTAACAATTACCCCTCGCTAACAATACCCGTTTTACAGTAATGCTTTTAGTATAGGTTTCTCAGATTTAAAAGTTTTTGTAGTACCTTGTGGCATTGAAGAGTTACAGAGTTGGGAAAATATTTCAATTTTTTATTTGCAGCACATCTTCCGCGTTATGATGCCTAGCTTTTATGCAAGACTAAAAATGTCAGGAAGTATCTGTCAGGTCGTAATTTTTTTGTTTATTTCAGTTCGAGAGTATTTTTTCTCCAAATTGTGCAAGTTTGGACGAATTTTGAATAAGGATCTTGTAGAAAATCTACTTTTGATTTCACTCATTTTTTCAGCGCGAATTTGGAGGGAATCCTTGAGGAATACATCTGTTCTGAGAGTGGAGGGACAAAAAGCTCTGGTAGGCCCAAAAAGGACTTGATACAACTTCCTGTGACACTCCTCTCAAACTAATATCGTCTACAGTAAAATCTCAGCTTTCACAAACAACATAGTGTGGGCATTCGATGCACAAGATATGTTAATCACTGATTAAATCCAGTTTGAGTGACATTCAGATTTTCAATGTTTTTGTCAAAAAAATTATGTTCAAAAAAGGAAGAGAAAACGCCTTCAAATCAAAAGTCTACATATTTCTAAACGGATTTCTTGTAACTATAATATGATACATACCTCCGAATTTCTATATATAAAACGATTAGGCGATCCAATAGTCTCCAAACCCTTAATTTAAGTCAATATTCCAACAGATTTGATATGTGACATTTTCTACTTCAATTTCCGCTGCAAGTATCAAACTTGATGGAAAAACGAAAACACAAAAATATAATTTTATGTAGTGCTGCCATCTATTTGAAAATGCATGTTTAACTTTTGTGATATAAGACTATGATAGAGGTCCATGGCCCTTCCAATAATATCATTGCTTTAAGGGAGTTTTTACACCCTTTGCGTTACAAAGATTCCCTTGATCTAGCCTTACTCAATCTGAATATGTCGATAAAATCCAGAAGCCCAGTTAGAATTGCAGTCCAACAATTTCTTACCTTCATGTACCCCTGGGGGATTCACTGTATATAAACCTTGACGGGGATCCTCGGTGCACATGGGGTACCTTTTTGGACATTTGGTATGGCAATGGACCCAAATTTTAGGATGTGGTATGAGAATGCCCCCTCATTAAACTTTTGATGGATGGAAATGGTCAGATTTTTCAACTTTCTGGTATGAGAATGGTCATGGAAAATATTTTATCTCACAATTATGGTATGGAATTGGTCCAGTAGTTACACATATTCTAATATGAGGTTGTTTTGGTTCGTTTTCCTCAAAGATCGCCCTCTTCTTGGGACCTTCTTCAGTTAAATAAATAGCTTTTTTCCCAGGAAATATTCTACTTTGGACCAGTCATGGCATTGGTATGGCATTGCTCCTATATTTTGACATTTGGTATGGCATTGGTTTCATATTTGGGCATTTGGGATGGCTTTTGGGCAAAATATCGGTTGGTATGGGAACACATTCAAATTTGACATTTTGGTATGGGAATATATTGATATCTGAGGGTTCAGCCTAGGACCCCTGACAAATTTTGTACACAGTGAACCCCCCGGGCATGTACCTAGCATTTATTTCATTAGATGGGGGGGCATGAGAGCTATACTTTGATCTTTGGATCTTGTCAGCATCAGAACTGTATGTTTATTTGTCCTATTCAGAGTACGTAAAGTAATTATACTAGAATATGAGCCTCAGGGTATAAGACAACAGGGTGAACCCAAAAAGGCCCCATATATGTCAATTAATTGTTATTATCTGATATTATTGAACATATTGTAGAACTTGTTTAAGCAGAACACCCTCGAGACCACAAAACAGTGTTATACTTTCAGAGGTCAATGGACCGCACTTGCACTTATGAGGTGTTCCACTTACAGATGTGTTCCATGTCCAATCCTTAAATGGCAACAGTAATCTTCTGGAACATCTGATTTAGCCATTTTCTGCAAAGCATATGGGCTGCTAACTCAGCAGATCTCAACCCTTCGATTAACAATATGTAACCCTTATCTTCCAGATTTAATTTTGCTCTTTTTGAATGCTTAAAATCAAGCATAAAATAATTATTTTCAGAATCTTTTTTTAATACACATGTAATGATCAACAAGACTAATTGAAACTTATATTTCACCAAACCTTGTTATCTTCCTCAAACCAAATGTGCTTCAGTTTGTTCTAAATCTCCCTTTATCTTAATATCATCATGAAGTTCAGAATTGTGGCCATCAGTTTAAATTACATGAAAAAAATCTGTTTTTAAACCAGAAAAAAGTATGAATACCTTCTCGATAACAGCCATAGTGGATTTGCCAAATGAATTCAAGTTTGCAATCAGTCCGAGAATCATTAGTTTAGGGCAAGGCCTACTTGAAGCATGTCTTGTAAGGTACAGTATTTCTAAGCCACTGATCAGATTAAATTGGAACTCTGAAGTGTTTATACATTGAGCAATCTTCTGCCAAAGTAGAAGTGTGTGTCATGGATAATACAAGTTATTTGGGAAATTTGGGGTCCACTTTTTCTGGCCACCTTGTTGGCTGTTGTTAAAGTTGCATAAATTGATATTGGAGCAGGTTATATAATGATGTTGACGTTTAGAACATTTTATTATGATGGTCCTCAGGTAATCTTTTGTCTAATACTGTGATGTCATCTATTGTACAGTTCTAAATGTGTATCATTAATAAACTCATATTTTTATACATTCTGTATCAACCATTTATCAAACGGCCACTCTCAGATGAATGATAGAAATATATCTAAAACCCTCAAGTCCCAGAATTCACTCCTGATTGTATTGATCATTAGCCTCCAAGGATATCATATTGATATATACATAAGATGTCATATAGATTCCTCAGCAAGTAGAGATTGGACATCAAATTGATCTATAGGGATCGGGGATCAAGGACATCAAATTGATCTATAGGGATCAAGTAGACTGGAGATCAAATCTATAGGGATAGAATATCAGTCACAGTATACTGATTACCAACTGACGCATCAGTTATTTTTTAAATAATGACATGAATCCGTAAGATAAATTTTTTTTTATAAATTAACAGTTTGTTTTATTCATCACTTCAATCCTTAAGCACGCAATTCTATATTGAATATGATAACATATACCTAAGTGGTTTTTTCCATGGAGTTTACAAGGTAATACAAAATACAGAGTAGAAGTATAATCGGTGTGATTTGTCCAGCACATCTAGTAAACTGTAGAATTTTGTGTTGGTCTGAATTAAAAGTTCAGTTCTAGGTATGTGACAATTGATGAAATTCAGATAGAAACTGCTGGAGTTATGTGTATTAACTGATAATCAAAAGTTGCCGCGTGGTTCCTCATCTCTATAATTCAGCTTTGATGGTGGTCAACAGTTGGTTACGAAACCAGTGTTCATATTGTACTGATAAAACTATTATAATGTTGAACTGATAAAACTTTTATAATGTACACATTTGGCAGTTCTAGACACTAGTTTATTCTGTTTTCTATGTACAGTTTTAATTTAAACATTTTCCTATGGTATGCTATGCTATTAGCTCTTCTCTGTTTGCCTTAGCTTGTTTCCTAGCTTGCCTTTGTATAAGTCTCTTCTCACGTTCATATTCTTTCATTCGAAGCACAAAACTGAAAATACAATTAGAAAATAATGTGAGTTTTGATAATGAGCAGTATGACATTCTGTTTTTTTCATTTATTTAGCCTGTTGTGAGAAATTCTAGTGAAACCCATGGGCTCTGACCATTCTGATATTCAAAGCATCTCTTTCTGTTGCATGGTAGAAGTCCAAAAGGTCAGAAATCAAGAAGGCATGGCGTACTACGACTCCACAATGCTCAATGAGTTCACAAGTTAATCAGTTAAGTACAGAATGAGAGTCAATCACTGATGCAGAAGAATACATGATGATGAAGGCAAAAATATTCAAATATAGAATATAAAATGAATTGGAGTGACATATGATGTTGTATCTCATACATGAGTGGGTTTGGGGTAGATATCACCCGGGAATATATAGCATATCTGAGGAGCGGGCAGGATATATTATATATGTCCCGTCCAGGGCAAATGCGGGCAGATATAATATATCCATCCCGCTCCCGGGAATTTTTCAAAAGTTTTAAAAAGTTTAAAAAAATTAACATTTGAAAGTTTAAAATTTATTAAAAAGTTTAAATGTTACAATTTCATTGTATTGAACTAAAGGAATATTACGAAAATGTTAAATACAAATTGTGCTCTTACAGTATAGGCCTATCTTGTCATTTGAAAAAGGTGGAACCCCAAACCCACTTAGTATGAGATACACCAGTTATGTACGATCGGTTTTAGATATAGGGTATATCCCTCGGGAATTATTTATATCTCCCCTTGGTCCCTTCGGTCCCTCGGGATGATATAAATAAATTCCTCAGGATATAACCTATATCCAAAACCTCCCAGTACATAACCCTTATATATGCAATTATACTGTAGATTAGGTTAATTTGGCATTTATTAATTTGGCGATTTTGCCATTTTTTGCCTATTGGCAGATATTTTATTTGGCGGACACTAGGGCATTGCTCTGACACCATAACTTTCATACACTGGAATAAAGTACAAAGTATTACACCTTTTCTTTCTGAATCAGCTCAACTACTATATCTAGCTAGTAATTTATTATTAAAGAAAATTCCCGTTGGAAATGCTCATTCATATTGATGTTTGTTTGAAGCTTACCAGATTTTGTAAAAACTAAACTGGAAGTGACTTTAATTCACTAGACAAAGTTCCCTCAAAAATTTTAGCAAATATGTAAATTGGTGTCTTTTTCAATTTTACCAAATTGGCCATATTAAAGTGGGTGCCAAATTCCCCAAACTACAGTAATAATTGTTGTACTGTCATGGCCAACAGGGGCTAGATCTGCCTAATTAAAAAGCCAACCATGCTCTTCAAGGAACACTGATTGATATAGCAATGTAATATTGAAAGATCGATGGACTGGAAGTTAATTTTCAATCAAGAGAATATAGTGATATTGCTCTGTGCTCATATTGTAAAGAGGGGAAGTATACTTTTGTATCAGATACTGGAAAAAATTTCATTCTACTTACTCATCATATACACAGAGATCCCAGTCATGTCTTTCGTGAGCACAGCTTGCGACATAAGGAAATTTCTCATTTCTGCATTTCTTATATTCCATCAATTTATGAACACAGTAGTCTCTCTGATTCTTCGAAATGTTCATGGCGAGCATCTCTTCCTCTGTAACTTGCATTACTGAAAAACATTGGAATAACAAAATTACCACAATGTAACTAATAGTACTGAATTCAATTCAACTTTTAATAAATTACTAAATTCTATACAGTAAAACCTGTATATCTGAACACCTGGCTAATCCGAACACCTTCCCATTTGAACACTTTTTTTCGGTCCCATTTTTTCCTCCCATTGACTCCCATGTTAAAAAAACCTTGAAATCTGAACACCTCCTAATTTGAACAGTGAACAACCAGATTTGAAAAAGTGACCTGTCTAATCTGAACATTTTTATCAGAAATCAAATGTCTGGACATTTCAATTAAAGCCACATATTGAGTCAATGTTATAGTTGTTATTTATCTTTACAAATATACAAATGCAATCAAAGAACCAATTGTCCTAATTAACTTATTTAGTCTCAGTGACATCCCTAATTTGTGGAAAAGAACAGGATGTTTTGGAAAGGTGTGAATACAGGAGTTAATTGGTTTATCCAATATTAGAAAAGAACTGAATGTTTATATTTGGATTAAGAGAAAGGTGTGAATCAAGAAGATAATTGATTTATCATTATTGGAAATAACCTGGATGTTTTTGATTTGGATTAAGAGAAAGGTGAGAGTCTGAGAGATAATTGGTTTATCCTTTTTGTAAATTAACTGGATGTTTTTGATTTGGATTATGAACAGGTCTTAACTGTTTTATATCCCATGGGTCTGTTATGATAGCTAAGATTCAATCAGTAAATGTTTTATAATCACAAAGACAACACAGACGCCATTTTTAGACATGATTATATCACGAGAAGGAGAAAAAATCAAACTTCGTAATATTCGCATATACATCTGACATCCTGAATGCCCTTGATATTTTGAAGAATTATGCATCACCTCGAATGAACACTCATGAAAAATTATTTTTAATAATATCTACTCAAATATTGCTAATGCTAAAAGTGCCAAGAAACAAACAACAATGAAGGACTTTTTCAAGCAAAAGAAAAGCAAATAAGCCATTTGATAAGCATAAGACTTTGTATGAGACTATCATATACTTTTACAGTGTATTACAAAGTTTTTGCCAAAATATAAGAGTTATTTTTACTAAAATGATGAAATTGTTCAAAATATAAATAAAACATAGCATATAGGCTATAGGCCTATTGTAGAATTAACATATCAACAACATGTATTGTTTTCTGACTTAGTATTAAGTGTTCAATATAGTGCACTGAACAATGAAAATCCCCCCCCCCGACCAACAAAATCCTCGAAATTTGAACACCTGCCAATTTGAACGCTTTTGGCTGGTCCTATGGGTGTTCGGATTAGACAGGTTTTACTGTACTCCTATAAAGTCCGCAACGTTTCAATGTTTTATCTCCATTACATTCTGTCAAAATTTGATGTCAAAATTGATGAATTTCATGAAATGTAACAAAAATGGCAGATCCCATGTTAAACAAATGGGGAATGGTGGCTTAGGGGCAACTCAGATTTTGGAATATCTATTCAGCAAAAGATTTATTAAAAATACTTTCTAAGTAGAAAATTGAATGATTTTACGTTTTACATGCTAAATGTCTCGCTTATGTTGTTAAAATTAGCGATGCGGAGCGTTAAAGTAATTTTGACCACCTCAGTGAACCACCTGTGTTATTTCAATAAGAGGTTCATTAAAAAATTATTGAATTTGAAACCATTAACTTTTGTAAAGCCTGGACAATTAAATCATATTTTTGTCGAGTAGACAATTTAGTAAATTTAATTATCTCTTACAATCTCAATTTTGAGAGCAATCGGATGGATGGATCGTTCCTCATATGACTTATGGCAACCCAACCATTCCCCATTTGTTTTTACGGGATCTGCCATTTTTGTTAAATTTCATGAAATTCATCAATTTTGACATCAAATTTTGACCCATGTAATGGAGATATAACATTGAAACGTTGTGGACTTTATAGTGAATAGAATCAAGATACAGATTTATTTTCTTTATTGGGATTTCTTTTGTTCCCCGCTTAGAAAACAGTCTTTAAAAAAAGATGGGGGTTAACATGTAAACCTATGAGGTCCTTAACTTTTTTTGAGGAGTATATTATTGAATTCAAATTCAATTCAACTTTTTGGGTTTAAAGGTTTGAAATCCAGCTGCCATCTTGGAAACTACTTCTTAAGCAGAGCTCATTTTAGTGGTCCAACTCAAAAGAAAAATGCCACTTGAGTAGAAAGTGTAAAAATGCCACAGTGATTGAGTGACACTTGCAAAAATGAGGGGAAATTGTAAAAATTAAAAAACTCACCCAGAAGACTGTTTGAAGACCAAATAAATACTATTTTAGCAACTCTACTATAATACTTTTGATGTTCAATATAGTTTGGATCAATTAAATTACAAGAAATACAATTATTTATGCCATAATAGTGTTTGTTGATTTTAAAATCTTTTCATTTGCTTCCGGAATCGATACTTTATTTTGTTCAGCGATACAAAAAATGATCATTCCTGGGGTAATAATAAAACATGCCTACTCGAGTTTGAAAAATGTAAACAAACAACTATCTTGGACATGTTTAACGAGTGAGTGGCGAGTATTGACATTCGAGTTACACCGCAAGCTCCTTTGTTCCTAAGTGGAAGCATTTGAAATTTGAACCAAATCCATCAACTGGCATTTGATTTAACAAAGTTAACATTTTATTAAGAAAAATGGCAGTCATTTTTCAATTCAGCTGTCGTCTTGAAAATCAAAACAATGATGACCTTATGTAAACACATTTTGAAAGTAAACCCATTCCAATTGTTGAGGAGGATTTTGAATTAGCTACCAATGTGTTGACAGATGGGCAGACAGAGGTTTTTTATGTAAAATGGTGGCCACTTTGAAATTCAGTGGTTATCTTGAAAACGACTTCTTGAGCAGAGCTGCTTTGTCCTTTGGTATCACCATGGGCTTTCAACTAATTGAAAGCCCATGAATCAAATCCATCGATTGGCATTTCAGTTATCAAAGATTATGTTCTTTTCAAGGAGAACTGGCTCCCAGGGATGTAATTTTGGTATGGTACGGAACGGTACAAATGGTCTCGGGACACGGTACTTTCGGGACGGGACAGAACATTAAAGAAAAATGATGCAATGTCTGATGATGGCTGTTTCACTTTCAGTTTCATTTTTCAAAATCATATTCAGAAATAAAAAACTTCAATTAAAATGATTTTTAAAGTTTCAACAAAATGCGTGATTTGTGTGATATTTGATCATAAAAATGCGTGATTTGCGTGATATTTGATCATACACGCTAAATTGATGCGTGATTTCTATTTTTCCAGCAAATGCGTGACAATCACGCCTAATGCGTGAGGGTTGACAGGGCAGTTATTACTTAGTTGAAGTATTACAATGTTTATTTTTGTGAAGTAATGCTTCATCAAATTGATAATTTTGTGCAAAAACTGTAGTATATCATAACAGACTGACATTCTAGTCAGCCAGCTGTTGGATACATACTATCGTACTGATATTAACCCTTTCTGTCCCATGTCCCGAAACCCAAGCATCTGGGCCGAAATTTGGTCCAATAAAAACCGTGACACCTCTAGTATCATGGTAGAATATCAAGTTGGAACCTGGAAGCTAAATAGCCAATCCTCGGTTTTTTATGAAAAATGATGACTTTTTTGAAATTCCAAGGCCATCTAGACGGTGAACACCGCCTCTTATGCGTTGGATTGTCGTAAGGACTTGCATTAATGGCGGTGTTTATCCTTGTAAATTCATGCCAATCTAAGTTTTTCTTGATTATTTTTGACGGTTCACTTTATTTTATTCTTCTGCTTAGAATCTCTGCGTCATTTACAGAGAAATATAAACAAAATGGATACATTGATGATTTATACAAAAAATTACCATAGCTTTGTGGTTGTAGAAGGTTAAATTGTGCTAATTTTGTAGCAAAATCGCCGTTTGTCGCTACTGTTCACAAAATCTTTATGGCGGCTTCTATTCTCACGAGATTTGACGAGAGTAGCCATTGAATATTGCTGCCATCTATTTAACTATACAGAGTTTATATCATTCATTCGACCATCATGTATTCGATGGAAGAAATCAATGATCTCTATTCGCATAACTTAAAACCAAAGTTTGGATTTGATTTGAAGCCATAACAGTTACAAGACGTGATAACAAACATATTGAATCAAGAATCCACTATAGCAGTTTTACCAACTGGTTATTGGAAAACATTACAACACGTGATCATCAAATTACGTCACGTCACGTGATCATCACACTGATTTATGCAACGCATGCGCACTTGAAATTAGGTCAGCGAAAATGTCAAGAAGACCGGTCAGAAATGCAATTTCGTCTTATCTGCAACGATTACACATAATTACTGTAATAAAGCGAGGCATTTATGGGTTCATTTTGAAGATTTTTGGTCCCGCTATCCAGTGGTGAAAGAATTTTCAAGATTGAGGTAAGATCTTGGGAGAAAAGTCAAAAACATCAGATCCGGACTTTTCAGCATTTCTTATATTTGATAAATTCACATTGCACGTTATGCACCCCTGGGGCCAACACGATCCTCAGAGACCCAGAGGGTGAATGAATGCACCTAAAGGCCATCTTGAAAATCTCTTCAGATCGTTACATAATCTTTCCGGCTCTCACTTAAATGCATTTGCTGCATTCTCTTGTTGCTCAGAAAAATAAGACATCTAGATGTAGATGTAGAATAAGATAAAATTAAAAAATCACAAAAATCAGAAATTTTGATCAACTTCCGGTCCACTAAATCTAATGTTTCTGCAAAACAAGCATCGACCTACCTCTTTCCTTTCGTCCTTCTGGAAAACCAAGCAAAGGATCAAAAGTTGGTGGCTCCTGATACCGTGGCATCGAGTCAGGATTGGTGTATGTCGAAATAACGTGACCCATTTTGCTGATTTTTTTTCCAGCAAAGGTCAAGAAGGAGTGAATTTATTCTAAAAATTTATTGGCCAATTGATGTTTGGACTATAACTAGTTTGTAATAATGGATGCTAAAATACAAAGTTTTGTAGATTTTTACAGCTCAATATTTTGTCATTAAATTTCAGATTTTTTGAGACACAAGGATACATCGTTTGAAGATCTCCAATAGAAAAAACTGAATGAAATTTCGTGATTCTCTATGATTGCAGGAAAATCGTGAATACCTTTACGCAGTCAGGAGGTAAAAATATCAACTTTTACATTTTTGTATTTGATAGTGTTTTATAGTAGTTTTCACCCATAATATCATCTAAATTTCATTCAGAAAAATAATGGATAGACAGTGAATTAGTTATGTAGTATTTCATAGAAAGCTCTTTATTGCAGGAACTCCCATCCTCCTGCATGTGTCCAGATGGCTCTCAAACACTTGGATCTGGATGTCTGGTTAGCAACATCTGTTGAATGGAGTCAAAAGCAGGTATGAGGGTAACAAGGCCGCCCGGCTCAAATGAGTTTGCCAATCAGCTCAATTGACTCCCATGACAGTAAAGTCCATTTCACTGCTTCATTTCGTCAGTAGAACGGCAAAAATAAGAAATTGGGAGACCATTGTGCAATAATATATGGAAAAGTATATTCATAATGTACATGAATGACATTTGTATATTTCAGATTTTTTAGTTTTTTGTGCAATAAGCCTGTGCCGTCTTGTAATTTGAAGAATTTCAGCCATGTTAATCTTATTGAAAATAACATGGCAGAGAAACATCCAAATATAAGAGGCCACACACTTTATAAGCCAAACTAGAAGCAATCCAAGATATACAAATGTCATTCATGTACATTATGAATATACTTTTCCATATATTATTGCACAATGGTCTCCCAATTTCTTATTTTTGCCGTTCTACTGACGAAATGAAGCAGTGAAATGGACTCTAGACACTTCATTGAGCAAATGGAAAAATCGGGGTCACCCCATTGGTCTGGATCTCATTGGTCTGGAATATACATGTAATTATCTGAATCCTTATGGTCCAATCCCCTTGGTCTGAAACTCACTTGTCCGAATTCCAATCATCTTAATCCCATTATCCGAATCCCTATGGTCTGAAAACACTCGTCTGCCAATCATCCGAATCCCAGTGGTCCAAATCTCATTCAGTCATTGGTCAGAACCTGATTGTCCAAATCCAGATCTTCAAGATCTGATTTCTGGGTGTCTCTCATGCTTTTTGAATCATTAACATTAATTTAGAAATACTAAGGTGAGAGGGATTTCCCACCCCTTCAATAAGCACCAATGTTATATACATAAAATCCATAAAATGCACTGCTCTAGTTATTTTAAAACCTTTTAAAAATGCACACAATTGAAAATTAAGATAACACAATATCTGAACCATTGAATATGGGAATCAAGAAGTCCTGCTCATGAATGCACGATCCAGACATTATAAATAAAAAGTGTTGATAAAGTGCGGTAGTTGATGTTTATACGCCTAAATTATTTTTTGCAGAATATATCAACCCTTGCAGAGATAGTTGTGATGAGAGATGACCTGGAATCAACCTTGATATCTCTGAAAATTGAACTGGATAATCTGGTGAGCATTTGATTGTATGAGTCAGGCCTATAGCCAGCTTTTGTTAAGGGGGGGGGGCTTCATTTTTCAAAAAATTCCAGAGGGTTCACATTTTTCAACTTTGGACCAAATTCACTTGAAAAGTGATCAGAATGGTGAAAAACCGCATGATTTTGAAAGAATTTCTGCCCTGGCTATGGGCCTGTGAATAAAGTATATAATATGGAATCAATCAGTTGGAGTTTGCATGTGAAAAGATTGTCAGATGCTTATGGGCTGAAAATGATTTACCTGACTGAAGCTACGTTTGTGTTTGTATTTTAGGGTGAAATCGGAATTGTATTTAAAAAATATCCTAGTATCGGTCACTTCCTGGGCAGACTGTGTGGGGTGAATGGCTTGTTGTTAAGCAAGGGGGTTTATTTGGCCCTCATGAAATGTGTCATGTGGTTCTATGTGGAAAACCCCAAATCGCCTGTTGAAGTAAAAGCAAAGCAATGGGCACTGGTAAGTTTTTAACATGTTTGCAGCAAAAGTATTTATCTCAAGATTAGTATATCGCTACATAGTTTTGTAATTTATGCACTGTAGTGATGTAGATGGTCTGATCGTTATTGAAATGCTGATAACATTTACTACACTATGTTTCTGATGGTTTTGACATCACATGTGATTTGAACTAGATAATATAGCTGCTGACAAATCACAAACCATCTACAAAGAGGATTTGCAGATAGTAAAAACATGGATGTTCGTATTTGATAGTTGTTTGGATATATAGTTTTTACTGTTCTGTGCATATACCTTATAAGGAATGAGTTAAGTCAAGATTGTGCTGCTTCAACATTTTTTCAGTCACAATTAAGAAGTACTGTATCCTATGGAAAAGAACAGTTTCCCATGACTGCACTGAAGTCTACAGGCACAACACAGAGTACCTTCAACACTGTTTGTTTACAACAAGTAAGTCCCCTTTAATTGCAATTAAATATTAGATACACACTATGTAGGACTTTCTTTCAGTACAAATGCTTGTACTTTGTACGACATTCTTTCTAGTGTGCAACTCATGTTGAGTTTCACCATATGAATGGCCTATGGTTATTAATTAAACTCATCGGCGCACTATTTAATTATTTTTGAAAGCTACTGATTGTAATTGATTTATTAAAGATTAGGATTTTCATGCCTGCCAATTTGAAAGTGACATAAAATCTAAACCAACAGAGATAACACCACCAAAGTTTTACTCATGATTAGAAACATATGTATAAATCATATGTTAATGTATGAACTCATCACAATAAGACGCACTGATGATAAAAAAATCCTAAACACGTATATTGCAAAAAAAACATAAGACCCTACTAAATGTTACCTTGAGTACCCCTGCAGCTTCCCTGGCCTGTCCCCCAGCCACAGAGTTGTCAGGCCCATCATCATTTTGAAATTTCATTTTCTGAGGCTTCAAATATTAGGCTTCACTACCAGAATCATTGAATATAGCAGCGATTCAATCATCATTACCCAGTCTAAATCTAGCCCTGGCTGCCATTTTTAAATACCACAATGTCTGATCACTCCCAGATTCGTATTTGTTTCAAAATCATTAAGTGACCAAAATAATTTTTTTCGATCATTTCTCTTCGCAAAATTAATTTTAAATCACTTCCTGTCAATTTGAGTACCGAACATTGGCACTGCAATACTAGGGTGACATATTTTTAAGTCTGTTACAACTTCCCTATAGCTTGTCGACCTGGAGTCGACGTAAGCCATGTAGCGTATTGGCGACAAAAGTCGCCTGAGCGCGCGAATGAGGTAATAACTATACATATACAAAATGATAGTTTATTACATTGCACTGTATTGCTTTGTATTGTATTTTATATTATACTGGATTGTATTTTATTGTATTGTATTGTACAGTATGTTGTATTGTATGGTATTGTATTGTATTATATTGTAATGTATTGTATTGTTTCATATTGTATTGTGTTGTAATTATATTATACTGTATTTTACTCTATTAGGTGATCCAGGACCTCACCAAAGATCTACATGGCCCAACCAGGGAATGGGATCATAATTTACAATGTCATATACCCCACCAACCTAAAAAGGTCCCATCTCATACAATTAGAGATATCATAACGATACTGAAGGCTGTCTCAGGGGGCCAAGGCTGTGATGATCTAGAGGAGACACTGCTGAGGTATATAGCAAAATCAGAGCAGACAGTTGGAGTGAGAGAGGTGTATAAGACATTACAACAGCAATCAGGTTAGTTCCTTTCCCATACCAATGCCTCATAGCCCTGTGAAACAACCGTTACAACCATTTCAGTCTTTTCGACCTTTTTGATTTTCAACTATGCACCATTTCACCCTTTACAATGTGTTCATCATTTAAATCATTCAAATCCTTTCAAAAAAAAATCAAGAATCAGTGGTTGTGTACAATATTGAAGATTGTTCAAGTAATGATTGTGGCTATTCATGTTTAGTTTTACATTTTTACAATTGCATTTTAGCGCACATTATTCTTCATTTTTAAAACTTCAGTTTTTAGTTTACAATTGCCCTGATGAAACTTCTCCTTTAAAAAACTCATGCTCGTCGTATATATTATACAAGCTATATTTTGCTCTTATGATTTTCATTGAAAATAAAACAATATTCCAAGTCCACCTCTAGAGGTATTTTCAATTGTGAATTGTAGTAGAGTAAATACTTTGTTTCAGACTTGAGTTATGGTGCTAAATTGATCCTCTGGTCTAACTACCTGCCTCATCTTGAAAGAACATTACTAGAACTATTGAGGTCCCACTTGAATGATGAGGGCTCTAGAATTGATAAGATGTGCAACATTAAACAATCTATGTTGGTATGTTATTTTTAAAACATGATGATTTGGTTTACAACTTCTACAAAAAAAATCCAAAATGAGCAGCCTCGGAATAATTATTATGATGTATACAGTTCTCATCTTTAACTAATGACCATCTTCCCTTAAGAAATGATAATTCACATATATGTAGGCAAGGTGTGTCTGTCCAAACACAGTATTTCATATAACTGCAGTGCATAATATCACCAATCACCCCATCTAAGGTCACTCATTATACAGTTGTCAAGGTGAAAACTTGCTTTGCCAACTTGACTCTTGAAAAAGTTTCATTGAAAATATGTTCTTTAAGTGATTTCCTATCCTTTAAAGTCCCCGTCTAAAGTTTGAAAATATTTTTTTATCATTCATTTACTATTTTTCAGGACTTAAAAAGTGATTTTAGAGATTTTTGAACAAAAAAAATTTTTTGAAAAAAAAGTTGTGAGCATTCCATTTCTCAAATATTCAAATTTCCCGCCATTTTTTGAAATTTCTTAATCATCAAATAATTCTTAATGCATTTCAAAAAAGATTATCTTTTTAACACCAATGCAAAGATTGAACAAAAGACACACTATTTCAATAATAAAATGTCATATTTAATGGGCCACTTCAATGTTTTAGCTTATCAAAAATATTTTGAAACATAAGTGATGTCACTAAGGTAACAAAAACTTTTTGAAAAAAATTGAATTTTTTTTTTCGATGTCAATATTTTCTAAATATGTTAGACTTTCATAAAAAAACAATGTTGATTGTCTAACCAGGTTAAAAGGAAGAATAAATTATGTTTTAGATATCATTGTACCATTGGTTTCTATGAGAACTAAAATTTTGAAATGCATTTTTCTCAGAACCATTTTCATGCACTGATAAGTTCATTTCTCGGTTGTTTATCAACCGATTTTCTTAATTTTTTCGGCAAAAAACATGGGAGGATGAATGCTATGCATTGGTATGAATTGTGGCTAATTAGAAGATATGGGTGACCTCTAAAAGTTGGTTTTAAATAAATTCACAAATTTTGGAACAAAAAGTCTATCAAAAACCACTTTTTGAAATTTAAAAAAAAAGTTTCACATATCACACTTTGATAACATTGGGTAAGACTACAATATAAGCCAAAGTGGTTTAAACTTTACACGGGGCCTTTAAGTGACATGGTAAAGAATATTTGCAATGTGTAAAAAGGATTTAAGCCCGAGGCTCAATGTATTGTGGAATGACCATTCCTTTCAGGCATTGTTTCCTAAAATTATACTTAAATGACATTTTGTCGTTTTTATGTTGACAGAATTGAAGCAATTTTATTCCCAGATTTAAAAAATTAGAACTGAACTTCCAGAACACTTTCCCTATGTTTTCTCATGTATTTCCAGGACAGAGCTTGTGCTGAAAGGCCTTACATATATGATACAGTGTTCTGGATTTTGGAAAACCTGTATGAAAAGAGTGGATGGGATCCATGCATCAGTGACTTCATAGGCTTGTTACATTCATCCATTGTGGAATTGATTTACATGTCAAATGCACAAGTAAGCAAAATTATGATAATTATATCGTAAAACCTGTATAATCAAACACCTCTCAAATTGGAACACCTCTCACTTTGAGCACTTGTAATGTCCCATTGATTTACATGTTAAAAAACCTTGAAATGGCTGGTCCCATTGCTATTCGTATTAGAAAGGGTTTGCTATACATGTATTTGAAAAAAATAATAAAGAGAAAATGATAATTACATAGTAGTTTTTATTATGTACATTCCAGTTATCAACTGCCCCACTGAAGTGCTGTAGATCTTGGCTCCACTCCCTTGTCAATCTTATACAACTGAGCTCCAAAAGTAGGTATATTTCAGTGAGGATACTTCATCATTTACTACACACTCCTATTTGTTGCATTTTGTCTTAGTCAATTTTCTCAATTTTAAAATTGCATGCTCATTCAGTACATGTATTATTTAAATGTGTATAACAAGCAAGAATATTATTTAAGATTCAGCATAACTTCCCAAGTTTTAAAATCACATGGACCTGACAGGTAAGTTTGGCATTTTTGTGTATTGCATGGGCAGTTCCAAAAACTAACAAGAGGGCCCAAATTTCAAGTCTGAAGCGGCAAAAACTTGAAAATTTTCTTGATAATGTGGCTTAAAAATAAAAACAAGTGCTCCCGCTCCCCCCACACCCCTAATGCGCCAGTGTACTATTACTTTGAGGATTTATGTGGAGAATTTGACATGACCTTAACTTGACATGTCTTTTAAATACTTGATGTACACGTGTGTTACTTGCCATGTTTTTTATACACAGATTTCTTATCACCTATAGATCTGAGACTGACTTGTTGTGAGGCTCACTTGACAGCCATCAGACTGGTGCTTTGTGATGTTATAGAGGGCGCCACAACAAAGGTCAAGGCCAAAGAACTGTTGATGCTACTAACTCAACATAAAGAATGGTGTCACATAGCATTGCAGTGTGCCTTTATTGCATCTAAAAAGGTAAATTCACAAAGTGTGATAACAGTAGGAACAGTCACTTGTTAATCTGTTAAGTACTGTACATGATTTTGTCGTGTCTTGGAAATTGTACATACTAGTATTGAATAGTCAAGCAGAGATTTGCATGATGGTTGGGTCAAAGATCACCTTGTCTCCCACCCCCTCAAATGTTTTAGTTTCCACTGTCTGACTAATGGTCCTAAGACTGACCATTGCATCTTTTTTTCATATTTTCATAATGAATGTATTGTTCATGTGTTCTGTAATGCCTAAATGTTGATCTATTATTCCAGGTCTCCCAGGACTGCACTTATATATTGTGTGTATTACACTGCTTACTGGGTGATGCTAGCAATGTAGCTAAATGTCAGGTATGCTTGTAATATGTTTTATCCCATGTGATAGTTAATAGACCATAAATGTTTACCTAAATGCAACTACTTTTAAACTTTATTTCAATCCAAATTGATTTTTGATTTTAAAAGGTAAAAATGCATAATTCCTGAGGTTCTAGATACATTTACACTGTACAAAAAGATATATTATGCCACTGTTGGGTCAACAATAAAATGGCACATGCTGTATATTAATTGTATACCATCAACATCAGGTGTTTTTCATTCACAAAATAAGTTGAGCAGTTGAAAAGGTTTTCAATAAATCACATACTGTTAATGCATTTTTCTTTAACTGAATTATATTTGAGGCAATAGTTTTTTCATTTATTTCATTTAGCCCCTTGCTTAGATCTAAGGAAATATGTCTTAATTTTATTATACATGTACATGTATAATATACTTAACATGATATGGAATTGAATTGGATTTTTGTTTAAGGAGTCAATAAATGACATAGTGCTGTCACTGAGAGGCCTTATGTCCAAGTCATCCCTCACAATCCAAGATGTCAAACTAGCCATACAACCTGCGATAAACACTGCACTATCTCAAACTCCACTATCTCAAACGTCAGTATCATCTGGTCTGCTGCATACAACTTCTCCTCTTGTGAAAAATTGTACCACAGCTGGAGTAGAAAACGAGGTGGTTAGAATTACCAAGCAACTAGTCATGGTGTTCATTGTGATGTCACAAAATGGAATCAATCTTATTGAGGACATATTCAAGGTATGTTGCGGTTTTGAAACAAAAATATTGGAGATCAGGATTCCTGTCATGAAATTATCAAAAATGCTGAGTTAAAAACATGTAAGATCCACTCATAAGTTCAGTACAGGAAATGTTTATCTGATGCAGGGGATCTGATGTATCAATGAATTCTTAAGACTAGCAAAATCATTAAATCACACCAAGAAACTTTGTTACAGTTACTAGTACTTAGAGATTGGCGTTTTCTTTTATTTCAGGTGCTGCAGATAGAAACTCCGAGAACGCAGTTGATTTCCCTGCTTGAAACACTAGAGCATCTGCAAACAGCACCAAGGCTCCGAAGGACAAACAATAAAACTAAAATTCAGCATCATTTACAACATTTATTAAATAGTATTGAAATGCCAGATTCGTGGCTGAGACAGAAAACAATTAATACAATGAAATATATGCAGTAAGACAAGCTGTGAGGGAGGATTGGTTAATGATTTTTATGTTACCACCAGACGTGCTGACATATTGTTATGATCTCCAACTTTTTTGTGGATGGTATTCAACGTTTGGTGTTGCCGTTTGGTGGTTTGATTCATCGTTTGGCGTCTGCATAAATGTCAGGTGGTGACATTTAGCATGTTAATGCCTTGTTTCTTAAATGAATACAGAATAAAACGGTTCCATAGACTTGATGCAAGATTATTTCATAGATCAATTTATTACTGGGCAAAATGTCTCCAGAATACACAAATACAACTATTAGGTGCTATGGCTGAATGTTCAACTAATGTCTAACTAATCTCATTTTAGAATCTTCCTCTGTAGAAGAATAGCCAATATGCAGACTGACAGATCTCCTGCAGATTTTCTTTTACATGTTATTGGTCAGATTTAATATTAAATATAAAATACCCTTCCTCTCATCAAGTGTGTTGTCCGTTTTCTTGTGTTTGACTTTCAGGCGGCGTGGCAAAGAATTCCTCAGCTCTCTCTGTTATTTATTAACAAGGCATGTAACATGCAAAATGTCACTACCAAACGCCGAACAGCAACCATCAAACGCCGTACATAGTCCACAGAAATGTTAGAGACTATTGCAATTTACCACTTCTTCAGGAGGTGACATAAAAACAATTTATTGTTAAAGTAGTCATTGGTGTTTTTGTTATGGCTATGGCTGTAAATTCATAAAGATGATTTTTTAATTCAAACTTTACATGTGTTAAATTTATAAAAACGATCAACTATCTTCTTCAATGCAATTAAAAAATCATATTTTGATATGTCATGGAAATGAGGATAAGGATCATCCTTTTGATTTGATTTCAAATATGTTTTTCGGAGTTTAAATAAATAAACAAAAACATTACAATAAACAAAAACAAGCCAAAACATGTAATATATGCAGATATTTCAATTTTATTCATGGAATTGCATAAGTTAGGATTTGTACAGATTTACCATTGGGATTTGCCTATTTATGTTATTGAGTACGTCCCTGACTATTGGATCTCTGTCATCACATTTAAATGACAGTGTATATTCTTTAACGGACGGTTTGAATCTATTGCTATTATTCAGCCCACTTTGGAAGAGCATGTATTTTTGACTAGATTTCATGTCCATTACCATATGTTTACAATTACGTTTAGATTTCGCTTTCATCTGTTTCTTTGTTTTGTAAAGATATTGATGCGTTTGGGATATGCTTTGATGGACAGCAAACACTGATTCGTTTGATGAATTGCTTCTGTTCACAATAGGATAGCTGCCAACATCAGCTGTTGTTGGACATTGATTGTTGATATCATTGGTGTCTTCATTATCATCATCTCTGATTTCTATTAGAGGAATGCGAGGCAGGGTCATGTTTAATTCCTCAATATCAGCGTCAATCACATCAGTACTCTGGTCGTCTTTGATTTCTATAATCGGTATCACAGGTTGGGCTTGCTTGGATTTCTCAAAATAGGTGTCAGTTACATGTAGACCTTGGTCGTCTTTGAGTTCCGTTATCGGTATGGTAGGTAGAACCAGCCCAGACTCGTCAATGGCATACTCAACTACAGGTACATCATGTATCCCATGTTCCTCTTTGATTTCTATGACATGGGTGGTAGGTAAGCTTGCAATATCAGGACGGACGTCTTCGTTATTGATATTTATTCTGACTTCATTATAACAGGCTGCAGAACCATCCTTTACAACTTTCTTTTGTTTCTGTTCCTCTAATGGAGTGAGCTTGCTCTTCTTTTCACCATTATTTATATCACCACCAATGGTTTGTGTCTCCTTGTTGGCAACGTTATCAACAGTACCTACTGATGTGCTGGTCACATCAACTGCTACACCACTTGCACGTCTATCAAGTCCCGTCGTCCTATTGAAGCACACGAGAGAAAGAATGGCGTATTAATTCGCGTAATTATTTAATTTTTCAAATTACAATCAACTTGATTGGGTATCGACCATTTGCATTTATAAATTAATAATATGTGAATACTGGGCCAGTATAAGTACTTACTGCTTCCAGCTGAATTTGTCGATATACAATTTGTTATCAAGTCATATCAATTACATATTCTTATCAAATATTTCTCAATATAGACAGGTGAAATAAATAAATTAAAGAACGGGAACATTTACACCACCAGTTTGCATGTTACCAGTTTGGCAGGGATCATATCGCAAAAGGTTAATGGCCCCTCCCATTGGACTATTCAGAAACACGTTTCAGTCGGGTTCCCATAAAAAGGTGATTTATCCCAGGAAACGGTATAATATGATCCACCGGACTAAGTCGGCGTTTCAGTATATTTTTACAAGCCTGTTACTTTGAATCTTCCGGAAACATCGATTCAATACAATAATAATGTCATTCAGTGAATGTACCTGTTCAATTGCCTAGTTTTGCCAAAGTGTCTTCTCTTTAGTAACGCCAGTGCTTTAGCTAGTCTGCCTTTTTCGATTGCACTCATTTTTTCAGTTGTTTTCTTCCATTTTACCAACCATGCTTTTCTTTTTCGGCGGCTGTCCCTGCTATCTTTGTTAGATTCTCGCCCTGATTTGATTTGCGGTAATTCAGCCTTTGCTGCCTTTTCATCGCTAGTTGTCAAATTAAGTTGTTTGACAAGAGTTTCGTTCACTCTAGGCCGTGTTTCCAATGTCATATCTTGCATCTGTTTCATCACATTGAGTACTGATCTTGGTAGAGTACTACTTCTAGGGTATGATTTCCTTGTGTAGTATGGTTTTGCGCGCTGTTGTTTTTGCATTGATTGAATGGACTTCAGCGGCAACTTCTTAATTGACCCTCTCTGTAGTGGTCGCTGTATTACCTGATTTTGTCTCACTAACCTTGATTGTTGTGAAAACACGTTATTATTAGTATGTATATCAGGTATATATGGCATTGGTTGAACTGCCATTTGGGAAGGTTTTTGAGTTCCTTTACGTTTTGTGTTTGTGTGGATATGAGAACCTGGCTGAACCATTTGACTCGAACTTGTCCGTTGCAATTGACAATTCACCGGCAGTAGTGTCTGGTTCGTGGGATTCTTTTGAGGTTGTAACAAGAGTTGGTTTTTCATAATTTGAACTGTACTGGTTGCCTGCATATTCATCTGCTGATTTAATCGGATCAACCATGGTATTGTTTGCATCATTGGCCTTGTTAGTTGAATCGATGGTTGCAGTACTGTTCCTGCTTGTTGAACTGGTTGAATTGACTGAATTGGTATTGGATTCCCGTTTAACTGGCTAGTTGGCTCACTCTTTGGGACTATATTTAAGATTGGTTGTTGCATATCATGCTGTCTCATTCTCTGGTTTTGTTGTATCGTTTGGGTATTTGTATGTTGAAGTCCGGGCTGTTTCAATTGGAATTTGCATACACAATGAAGTGGTCGATACAGCAAGGATTGACACGGGCATTGTCGAGCTGTATAGCCCCTGTATGCACTGGAATCCATGTAAACCGACGGAACTTGAACGTAAGCTCTATTCCGAGACAGTGGACCAAATCCACTTGTTACATATTGGCCGCTCCTATTGTTCTGAGAATTACTTACATTAACGTGGTCCCCTCTTCGTAATGTGTTATCCTGGCGTGCTGCATTTTGATCACTAGATGATTCTGGATGTTCACGTTCCTTCTCTAATTTATCACTTTCAGCTTCCAGTCTGTTCCCATTATTAGGCTCTGCCGTAGCTTTACATTTAATATCTCTCAGAGCTTTTTTATTCTCTTTTAGAAAACGTGGATGCCAATAAACGTAAAATCTTACGCTAGACGCGTCATCTTGCTCTTTAATCCAAATCTTTTGAAACCCATGTTCTTCAAGCTTTTCTATAAAATTTTCAAATTTATCATCGTCGCTAATATTATGCTTCGCTGATTCATTTTTGAAGACTTTTCTATCAATGACGATTGCTTTTCCAGTAGTATGCCATTGTACCGTGCTAATATCTCTCGATTTGACCAGTGACCACAAAAAATATGGAAAGCTCTTCTCAGCTCTTGGTCTCATGATTTTATTCCAGATTTTTGTGTTTACTTTAATTTGTTTCGTTTTTATACTCAAACTTCGCGTACCCTTGGAAACATCTGATGTTTCATTGGTGGATATCCAGGAGTCTTTATGACGTCATTAACGATATAATATAACAATGAAATGACGTCATATATTGTTGTTATGGTTTGAAGAATACGTTATTTTCTCTATGATGTCATAAACGATCTAACATTCCAACACTTGTGTCACATTCTGTTGTCATGGATGAATAAGTAATGTTTTCTGTTTTAAATTTTGCATTTGTAGACAAGGATTTGTAGATATCATTTTGAGAATTATTTTGAAAACTGGAATAGCTGAAAGTGAAGATGATTTTCAAGTCAATTAGTCTGTCGATTTGCTAAACCTTGTTCATACACATTTCATGTTCAGAGAATTAATCATTGGCTAAATTAAATATAATTGCAGAGGGAGACAATATGCTTAAACAATGCTTTCAATGAAATAACAATCATATTATTTAGTCTTCAATTATTTTTATAATTACAATTAGACCAATAACATAGAGCTCGAGTATGAAGCAAATTGAGCGTGGCAGTTCAGCAGTTGAACGTGTGGGGTAAGGTACAACACGAGGATGGTGAGATTTGAGCAATGTGATGTTTTCGCCGTTTCAGAAAGATCTGGTCCAGTTTCTAAATATTTTCATATATAAATGTCTGTTACAATATCCTAGACGGTAGACCTGTAGACTTGACAGTGAATTCCAGAGGTAAATCTACATCAACCAGTTAACTCCGAATGGAATATACGGTATTAAGTGCGGGTTTTACTGAGATAAATTCAAATTCCTTTTGGTACTGTACCTTACCCCGCGCGTTAATTGTCATGCTTAATTTGGTACAGACCCTGTGAACAATAGAAAATTATTTATTTCTCGTCATCACCATCGCCAATGTCAAAATATTCCAAACCCCGACTCTAACTAGACATTATGACCAACTTTTGACCGGCAACGAGCTCATGCAATGGCAGAATTACCCGTAACGTCGACACATTACGATTACACCGTTATATTGAATATCATTCAAAAATTGATACATCTTTTTGACCACCCTGTAGTTATATTTGCCCAACTTATCAGCGTGATCAATGGATAAATAAACGACTGAAATACGATTTTCAATTTTTCGTATCATTCATATTTTATAGTACATTTGTTTTGTTTTTAAAATTAAACACTGTTGATTCACACGGTCACGAAAGATAAGGTAGACAGACTATATTGTCGCTTGCTTAGATTTATAGCTTATTTTCATCATACATCTGAGCTTTTTTACCCTCGGGTTAACTTGACGAACATTGCTATAAAAACAATACTGACGACAGTACGGTCTACTATCCTATCTGTTGCAGCAAAAAAAAGATGTGCAGTCGAACCAGAAAAATACATTTTTGTAATGTTACAAAATCAGATTGACAATATGCTGAATGTGCGTGGAAATTGTGGATCTCTGTAGCTGAAGGTTGAGTATCATGACGACATAGATACTTGCAAAGGCTCCATCAGCATTAATCGTCAATATTACTGTCCTGCCTGGCGTGATATTGATGATAAAGAGGCATTCGAACTGCATGAACAAAAATGGGGAGGAAAACGAGACACTTGCATAAATATGGAATCATTGTATCATTCGCTGTTGCTTTTCTTCTTTATGTTGAGGTCAGGCATATTATGAATCCAAAACAACCAGACTCTCCTTCAGACACAGAGAAAGTAGAAAATAGGAAAAGATGGGAAAAATACACTCTTGATACCCATACTACTGAAGAACTAATAACAACTGCAAAGAAGGTTAACCAAAATGAGAACTTTGTGGCTCTTTGTGTGATCAACGGTGCATATCTGCCTTTCCTTCTAAGTTGGCTTTGCAATACGGCAAACATGGATGTACACCGACACCTCCTGATTGTCATATCGGATGAAAACGCTGTCCAACAAGTCAGGTTCCTATGGCCAGACTTGTACGTTATGAGCATTACTATCCCTGAAGAGAATCTCAACAAGAATTTAACATTTGGTGAAGCTGGATACTTGAGATATTTGTTAGTAAGAATTGAGATCATGTACACATTGATTAACAATGACATCAATGTAGTTCTATTTGAAGCAGATGCAGTCTGGTTCAAGAACCCATTGGCACTAGTGACAAGTATGAATGAGTATGATATAATTGGTTCTACCACTAATACACACCATCTAGCATTCGGATTTATGTTTCTGCGATCCAATAAAATTATGATAAAAATATTTGGAAGCCTCGTCCTAGAGATGAGATTTTTAATTGTATCTTTACAAGACCGTGATGCCAAAGAGGACGTCCACATAATGGCATACGACCAAGACTACTTAGCCAAAAATTTGGAAAAACATGAACAGGACGTACGCGTGAATTTATTAAATGAAACAATAGTAGCAGATGGTTTCTGGTATACTTCTAAATGGTATTTGCAGCTTGGAACTTATATTTTGAATAATAACGGAATTAAGGGCAATGGTTTAAAGATAAAAAGAGCAAAAGAGAATGGACATTGGTTGATATTAGAGGACTACACTTGTAATTGGGACAAAATAAAAGCGATATGTCACTGAGTATAGTCAGACGTCAGTCCGTGTTATTGTTTAGCATCATATCTAGCGTTTCTATATCAACATCTAGCAGATCATTTTTCTTTTTAAGACTAGAACCCTTTTTCTGTGTGAATCGTCCCAAATTGTTTCATATCACATAGGATCACGTCCACAACCCGTAAGAAATATGCCACCATTATAACCGACTAATCTTTTCTATTTTTTGTCATTATATACTTTTCTTTCAAAAACTACCTTTTCTCGGAAGCTAAGAGACAATTCTTAGGCCAGGAAAAAGCTCAATAAGTATATCCCAATGATAAGTGAGCTATATCTACTGATAGTGATAACACATTGATAGTTACTTAAATTACGTACTCGTTGCCATGTTCGTTATCTGCACTATCACCATTTGAATCATTCATTCAATTTCGAATTAGGGTACATCAGTTTCAACTTTCAATCCTGCAAGATGAAGTCTCTCCTTCTTGCTATCTGTCTCATTGTTGCTGTAAATGGCAGGTGTAGCCCCAACATTTGTTCAAGGGTCCGATGCCGTGGCGTGACACCAGCCGAGTGCCAAGATGGCATCATTGATCCCAATGGAGGTTACTGCGGTTGCTGCCCCAAATGTGTTAAGACAGCTCTTTGTAAGTATTTTGTAAAATCATGACTCAAGATGATAAGTTCATTTTTTTTAGTTGAATCAGATGTCTAACATGATGGAAATATGCATGCCTCTAACTCAAATATACTCTCAAATATACTACTCAAATAAACTCTAAAGCACGTATATGTCAATAATACGCATAGTAGTAAGCCAGCATGGAAAAAGGTCTCAGCGGAACATATAGAAACTGCATATACGAACGTTTTAGCCGAATATCTGAATACTTTGTCGAATGAACTTAAGGATGCAACCCATATCAGTAATGCTTCTATTGACTCCCTTTTGCAAATATTTACACAATTAATGAATGATGTATGCGACAAAGCAATTCCAAAGAGAAAATTTTCTAAGCATTTAAAGCCGTTCTGGAATAGTGACCTTACGGCCCTTGTTAAAGAGAGGAATACTACTTGGCGTGATTGGGTCACAGCAGGGCGACCTCGAGCGGAAACCGATAGAACCAGAATAAAGTACAAACATGCAAAGAAGGCGTTTATTAAAGCATACAATAGTGCAAGATATATTTTTGAACATTCTGAACTAAATAAATTGTATGAATCGGAGGAACTAGATCAAAACATGTTTTGGTATTTACTGAACAAGAGCCGTAAGCGTGGTGGTCCTAAATCTAGTCTAGTGAAAAATGACGATGGTGTTGTTATATCAGATCCTCAGGAAGTGTGCATGGAATGGAAGAATTACTTTGAAAAATTAGCCACCCCATCTAATCATGGCATTTACGACGACGATTTTTATCATCTAATTAACAATGAAATTTTGGAAATGAAAGCTGCCTCAACTTCGCAAGAAAATGTGTTTTTAAATAACCCTATTAAAAGGAGCGAGATCGAAACCGCTATAAACCAATTAAATCTAAATAAAGCAGCTGGTGACGACGGTATATCTACGGAACATCTCAGATACGGTGGTTCAGCCGTAATTGACTTTATTTACTTAATTTTCAAGCATATCGTCAGTAATGAATACACGCCATCTTTATTTAGAACTGGTATACTAATTCCCCTTCTGAAAGGTGGGAAACGTGATCCCTTGGAAAAAGACGATCACCGTGGAATTACACTAATGACGTCACTACGGAAAACGTTTGATATTTTCTTGTTAAACAGGAGCAAGCCACATATCCTTAAGCACATTCCCCAATTACAAGGAGCATCTTTGAAATCGTGTTCATCTGTACATTCCTACATGTTAGCACAAGAGGCAATATCGCATAACGTAGACTTAGGACGTAACGTTTACGTCACAACGCTTGACATTCGTAAGGCATTCGATAGTGTATGGATTAACGGACTTTTTCATAAGCTGTATAACAACATTGGTGTCCGTGGCAAATTATGGCGCATCCTTTTTGACTCTTATAACACATATAAGTGCAAAGTGCGTGTAGTGGAACATTTTTCGGACACTTTCGACGTTCGACGGGGAGTCCATCAGGGGGGCGTATATAGTATGCTCCTGTACCAGCTGTACAACGCTGACCTCATAGAAGAATTAATAGACCTACGTATTGGTGCTAAGATTAACGACATTGATGTAACTTGTCCGGTGTACGCTGATGATATGACAATTATGACCACCGACAAAATCAGCATGAATATTTTATTAAATGCAGTGTTCAATCATAGTCTCAAGTGGAGATATGAAATTCACCCAGGTAAATGCAAAACGTTAACTTTTGGGAAGAAAAGAGGCGATCAATTTACGAATGTCGTGATTAATGGGATTCCTGTGCAGACGACAAATAGCACTGTACATCTTGGATTACCGTTATCAAACAACTCAATTTCCCAGTACGTTGATGAGAGTATTAACAAGGGTCTCCGTAAATACAATGCTCTCCAAGGATTGGGAGCTGACGTCGGTGGAATGCGCCCTTTGACATCTGCAAAATTATATGAAACATTTGCAATTCCTTCCATGACATACGGCTCTAATGTAATTCCGTATTCGTCAAATAACATATCACAGATAGAAACTGCACAGCGTAAGGTAGGCAGGAGGATTCAATCACTCCCTGCTTTTGCAGAGTGCCCCGTGGCTTACGAACCCCTTGGTTGGTGGGGAATGGAATACAGAGTTGACATCTCAAAATTAATGTTTATATGGATGCTCTTAAACCTGCCAATGGCTAATATATACAAACGGGTGATGATTTTTAGAATGACAGTTATGGAATTTAAAATTGCCCGTATACGAATGACCTCTCCAATTGCACAGATGTGGTGTACAGCTTTAAAATACGACCTAATTGAAAAGTAAAACTTATGCTTAACGGTCAACATATCCCAAAGGCTGCTTGGAAACGTTTGATCTGTAGTCGTGTGAAAGACCTTCAGGAGACAATTTTCAGGATTAGGTGCATGTTACATCCAGGCCTTTCTCATTTTCTAACTGTCCATAAATGTAAAACACCAAACATATGGTGGATCTTAGCTCAAGAGTTTCCAAATAGGTTAAACAGTTTTAAAGCCGTCGTCAAATTATTGACGGGTCAATTCAATTTGAACTCCTGTAAGAAATGGAATAGATCAAATTATAATCTACAGTGTACTCTATGTGGTAAAAAGGAACCTGAAACAATGGAACATTTCCTGTTTCAATGTGATGCATTCAGCTTCGAGCGTTTGCAAATGAATAATTTATATCATGGAACATTTGACAACGATTATAATATGAGCAATGAGTTACGTGTAAAACAAATATTTGGTGAAAGTACAACCGAAATTCAGTTAAAAACAGCAGACATAATTCTGGCTATGCAAATCAAAAGAAATTCGTTGTTGGTATGACAACTCTATTTTGGTCCTGAGCTATCGACCTTGGGGAAGATGGCATCGGTATCTATAGAGGTTTCATCTTAACTTGGGATATACATTTCTTCACTATTTTAAATATGTGTGTTTTTATTCATTATTTCAATTTGTAACTTTATAATTGTAACTCTCTAGTTATTAGAGGTAAATAAATATACAATACAATTAGGGAGTTTAAGCTTTCGAAACGCCAACCTATACGTATGACCAATCGCCCATAGATTGCTTAAATATTTTCAGTCCACGTTTAGGTTGTGAAAAACATTGCAAGCTTAAACTCGCTATTATTTTGTTGTAAGTCAATCTTTGATATGTTGGAGCTGTGGCGTCAATAAATACACCATAGCCAGTAAAACCTTTTTCTATTCTGTTCATACTTCCATCTTAAACATGGTGGAGCTGCCGAGTGGACTGCTGCAGCGTAATGTCATTCCATGCGCTTGTTCATTCTTTAACATGGTGAAGCTCCCACGGTTTATTTTGTAGACGAGGCCAAAGAAACATGCAAGGATAAAAGAACTAGACTACAAGAAACTGTCAACAAAGCAGGCCGTCCAATTCTAGGACTTAGTCTCCCTACGTGCAATGAGGATGGTTCATTTGCTCCTAAGCAATGCAAAGGTTCTGTGTAAGTGTTATTTTGTATTTCAATCTTTTAATTCAAAATACAATTCGGTTTCCGAAACTTCGAGAATGAGATTCAATACCTGTCTGGTGATTTATCCAGCCCCTTTATGTCGGTTTGATTTTTTTTGTTTTAGGTGTGTTTGTGTTGATAGATCAGGGAAACAAATTGATGGCTTCATGTCTAAGATATGGCTCTCTAAAGATATGAATTGTAGTACGTAACGTCCATTTTTTCATAACGTATACTAGCATCGTCATCTATTTATTCTGCTCGGAGTCTTTTACACACAGCCACGTAGGATGCAAGACATGCATCGCGACATTTGATCAATCAAATCGCAGTATTATGGTTCGTCTTAGCTTGTATTTGCGAATGCAACTAACGGCTTCCGGCTACCGGATTAACCTACTGTTTTATGGGCAACTTATTTATATGTGATTATGTAACTTGTAGAACATGGTGTCACAAATAAATCAGTTGGCGTTCATGGTTAAATGACTTAAATCATAAAATTCATGAAAATTCTTTCACATTGCCTGATATTCATATTTTTGTAGCCTTGCCCAAGTCGGTTTTTTTTTTACTTAGGCCTATCCTGATCTTGAATTATAATAGAAACCAAGATAAGTAAGAAACCGACTTTGGCAATGCTAATATTTTTGTGTATTATGCGAGGACTGAAACATGCTATACTTTTTTGTCTTTCTTCATATCTTAAGAATGTGCAGTGGACCGTGACGCATACCAACAGAAGGGCATTAGAGGAAAGACATTCAGATGTAAGGATAACGGAAACTATGACAACATACAATGCTTGGGTTCTGTCTGTTTTTGTTCTGATGATAACGGAGAGCGTCTTCGTTCCGTGAAACCTGTCGGGATTTGGGAGATGAAGAAACTGAAATGCTAATGCTTTGATATTGTATTTTTATTTTGTCGCATGAAAAAATAAAATAAGCAAAGTATACATTTTATATTTAAATGGTTTCTTATAGCCTAGTGAACACAGTACATTATACACGTCACATTCACAGGATTGAACTCCCGAAAGAGAATCGATCCTTTGACATCTAAAAAACTCTATATGGTGCTGTATTGTGGCTGCTTCATTCCACTCAGGTGTTGTTTCCTAGTGTTCAATAGAATAATTCAGCACACAATCCACGGATTATATAATCAGATCAGCCCAGTCTTTGAAAAGGGTAAATTTCTACATGGTCTGATACATCCTATGTCCTCAAATAGTCTAAGTAGAATGAAAACGAAAGTGAAAGCGAAAGATGATAAGTCCACCAGATTACGCTGGAAGCGCCATCTTTAGAAAAGCTCAAGAGTAAACAAAAGTACAACTTTTCAAATGCTAAAGTAATTCGTGTTTACAGGTGTTTTAGTAGATAAACAGGTAAGTTCTATATGCAGTAGTGTTCATAAGATGTCGAGCCATATGTATGCAACGTCGTTTGAGAAATCCATCTGGTCAATTGGCGAATTTAGTAGAATCAAAATGTAGGTCATTTCTTTCAATTTTGTTCCCCAAATTTTGGGTGTGGTATATGGTTCTATGTGAATCATCAACTGTTGTCACATGTACATTGACTATGTGAGGGGGGCATATATATTTCCTTACTGATTGAGATATTCTTATCAGGGATAAATACTGTTTCAACTGGTCTGTCACATTTAAAAACATCTAGAAATGTATTTTGATACCCCTGCTCGCCCTCGGGGGGTTCACTGTATATAAAACTCGACGGGGGTCCTAGGCTGAAGCCTCAAATATCAATATGTTCCCATACCAATCTGTCAAATTTCAATATGTTCCCATACCAACCAAAATAACGCCCAAAGGCCATACCAAATGTCCAAATATAGGACCAATGCCATACCAAATGTCCAAATATAGGACCAATGCCATACCAAATGCCGAATTATGGGACCAATGCCATACCAAATGTCAAAATGTAGGACCAATGCCATACCAAATGTCCAAATATGGGACCAATGCCATACCTTAATTCAAAGTAAATGAAATATAGGATCAATGTCATACAAATTTGCAACTACTGGACCAATGCCATACCACGAATGTTAGGTAACGTATCCACAACGACCATTCTCATACCAGAAGAGCAAAAGTCCGACCATTGCCATACCTCAGAAGTCAGAAATTTCCGGTCATTCCCATACCAAATCCTAAAATATGGGTCCATTGCCATACCAAACGTTGAAAAAGGTACCCCACATGCGCCGAGGATCCCCGTCAAGGTTTATATATAGTGAACCCCCCGGGTGCTCGCCATACCAAGGCGTTAGCATTTGTCTACTTCATTGTTTCCAATTTGGCAGCCCCGCTTTATGACAGGTGGAGTAACAGCCCAGGTAAATAAAACATCTAAACCTACCGCACGCGCTGACCTTTTCATAACCAATCACAGAGAGCTGGGATGAGCACATGCGAAATGTGTGCTCATCAACTATGAGATGACATCAGAGGATATTACCATATATAGAAAGTCAGCCATATTTCGACTTCAAGCTCTGATTGGCTTGGTGCGTTCAGAGATTTATTGTTAACTCAAAGAATGCAGACGAAGTTCTCTTTTAAGAAGCAAAGGTGAATGATTGCAAAGGAATACACTAGTATTGTCAGTGCAGAGTGGATTTCTTTTTTTTGAAGGTTGTGAAGCTATGAACTTACATCATAGAAAGAGATACGCAAATGTATGATTTATATAATAATCCCAGATAATTCTGTTCATAAGGAGCAAGCAATCAAAAGCACAAGTGAGAACTAATGAATACATTACTAGTGTGCGCCTATATTTTTTACACAAGGCCAGAAGCGACTCATTTTAACCCTCCATGGATGGTACTGTGGTACACCCCCGGGGGTACACCTTCACCTTTGTCCTAACTCAGGAATTACAACCAGTCTCTAGGTTAAGGGTAAAGAATAACCCCAGATATCCACAATTAAATTACATCGATCTACATGTATAGGTTTTGATGGATTATTATGTTTTCACAACCAGCATCAATATTATTGTTATTATCCACATTAAATGAAACCCTCTGTTTGGACCTAGTCATACACTTGCTGTAACACCATAATATACATCCATAGACCATTGTATACATATTTTTTACAGATGAAAGAACTCGCGATTTTTACAATTTGATTTCAATTTGAATTCACAATTGTTTTCATTGTATTGTATTGAGAATGAACAATAGAAATATTGTTTTTTATTGTTAGAAATATGAAATCAAGCATCTGGTAGATCATTCATTAACCTTTATCATGTTTATGGTTGAGATGGTCCTAAAAGATTCATCATTGGTGTAATATTAATCTAAAAGGAATAGAACATTTGAATTTGTGATACTGTACATATTATGTACTTCAATCCTACCCTTTTTCTGTCACCAATTTCATTAATTGTGTGAGTTAAAAAGGATGGGCCAATATATGGTATATGATATTATGTTACAGGGTGGGAGTAGAGCAGCAATATGGGAGATGACAAACATATCAAGAATCCCATAGAGGTTATAAAGAAAAAACTATTGAGACTTTGTAAATGTGGCTCAGGTAAGTTCAATAAGAATATGATATCTGTCAATGTTAACATATCTGTCACCATATTGGTATTATAGACATTGTTGCCATACAAACCCACCCACCAATATATTCAGGCCCATAGCCAGGGTGTTCGAGGGTTCAAGCAGAAAATCTTTCAAAATCATGCAGTTTTTCAGCATTCTTAGCACTTTTCAAGTGATTTTGGGCATTCTTGAGCCAAAGTGAACCCCCTGGAATTTTTTTTAGAAAGTTAATCCCCCTTGGGAAATCCTGGCTATCGGCCTGACATTTATACACATGTCCAAGTTTTCAAAATATTCAGCAAGGTTACTTTAGATCTGACAAAATGACAGATCTAAAAATGTAAAAGAAACAACCATGTCTATAATGGTCAAAACGATTAATTGATTCATTATCCTTTTGTTTTAGGCTGGTTCATAATTGGATTAATACTATTCATAGTAGGAATTATCTTATTGGTTTACTACACTAAATATTGGAACACTGAAAGATGGGAAAGGTGAGATAATAATTAATGAGAAACAAACCCCTAATAATCATATATATAATGAACGTACAACTTTTAAAAGGTGAGAAAGCACCATGGGCAACATTGAAAAACAAAACCCAAACTACTATAAATCATGAACCATATTCAACCAAAATGAAATCCTGTAAGGCCAATAAGTGTGTTTCATATAATAAAAAGTAGATATACCTTGTATGTGTGGAGAAAGCCCACAATAGTATTACAATATCGTAACGAGAAAATGATTCGACTTTCAGGGGTTTAGCCTATGCTGGTGTAGGTCTACTGATTATTGGTCTTATAATCACTACAGTAGGAATAGTATTTTGTGTTGCACTTGGTGTCGTGTACAGGAAAAGAGAAGCCAGTTCTGTTAAAATGGTAATTATTATCTTTTATTGCTTTTTATATATCAGTATAGTATATGAGGTCAACAGAAAATTGACATCCATATTGTATTGTACTAGTATACTACCTTGTCACCTGATTGGTACATAACAGATGAAAACAACAACCAGATTGCAGATGTCTAAAGATGTCTATCTCAACAAATGATAAAGCGAATCCCTTGAATTGACTGTCCATTCATCCATCTTGGGAGTAACTAAAATACTAATCTAGTGGATCAATTTTCTTTATAGTATTTGGTTCAATAATAAAATGTACCGGTATATATAAATTAATATAATGATGATATGCAAAGATGTAACGAATTATTATTTCAGTTTGTACCACCAAAATATTCATATGGCGAGGCACCCTATCCCCAACAGAACTGGGGTGATGCTAAAAATCCACATGGCCCTCCCACAGATGGAGGAGCTCATCCTGCTGCGTCGCCTACTGCACCCCCTGCGGGAATGGTCGCACCAGAACAAATACAGATTGACGATAGTAAAGGAGTCTAGATTTTAAAAGTGGAATGATATGGGAAGTGGCACACTGGCAGCTTTGACTTTCAGTAAACAGGTGTAAATATGGCGAGACAGATATTACATTGTGGATAATTATTGTTTCAAGACCAGGCACTATATTGTATCATTCATACCTGCCAATTCCTGTTTTAAATCAAGAGATCTCTTTGCAACATCTTGGTTGCTTGATTTCATGATGAAACTCTGCCTTTTTTCTAGACAAAAATCTTTGGATTTCCTTGATTTTCTCCTGACCTTTTTCTAACCATCTTATATTTCAAATCATTTCATCTGATATTCTTATCAGCGATTTGCTGTTGGCAGGTGTTTAGTCAAGAGATAGGAATTGTTATTTCTTTCCACAACATAATATATAGTACAGTAAATTCAGATAAATGCCAAATACAATTCCCTTTACATTATTTCTCCTTTGTCTACATGTCACAAGTGCCCTACTTTAAAAGTAAGTGCACTGTGAAGTGTACAGGGTGATCACCTTGTAAAGGGGCATGGTCTTCTGGGTCACCCTGTAAGATGTTAAATTGATTATTTTACTGGATTAGTGTAAATTACAAGTATGTAAACTGTATATACATTAGGGGTACCATGATAAAAGAGATCAAAAAATTAATATGTCTTTATGATTTTGAACTCATGATATGATAGCAACAATATTTTACAGCATGAGATGAACTCTTTCAGATACACATGTAGATTGCTTGTGTGTTTGTGGTATCTATAATACACATATACATGCACAGTACTTTGCATGGAGTGCAATTATGTTTTAACACCCATACTTGCAGTGAAAGCTCTCAGGATTACACTCCAACCCACAGCTTCAAGAAACTTCCCAAATATATAAAAAGCTTCATTAATTTATATGTTCTATACAGTAGAACCTGTATATCTGAACACCTGGCTAATCCGAACACCTCCCAATTTGAACACTTTTTTGGTCCCATTTTTTCCTCCCATTGACTCCCATGTTTAAAAAACCTTGAAATGTGAACACCTCCCAATTTGAACAGGGAACAGTCATATTTGAAAAATTCACCTGTCTAATCTGAACACTTTTCATAAAATTTCTGATGTTTCATACAAAATTGCTCAAATTTTGTCATGATATCAAAACTTTGGGAAATAATCTTGAATGGTCTCATTCATAATGGGGCTTTCCAGCATGACTAGATTCATTTGAATCAAATTTTCAAATTTCTGGAATGCCATAAAGCTATGTGGTCAAAAGAACTATAAATATTTACCGAGAATGTGTTCACATTTCTTCAGAATCCGAAATATTGCGAATGCAAAAACCTTGAAATGTGAACACCTCCTAGTCTGAACGCTTTTATCCAGTCCCAATGGCGTTCGGATTAGACAGGTTTTACTGTATATATAATTGGGCTGTTTCCTCAAGTTGTGTGCTGGACTGATATGGTGTGACTTTGATATTTTAGCATTTAGTATATATTTATATGCTTCAATGCCAGTAACAGTTCACTTTGTTTATGCTTCCATCTTTTGTAAAGTAGCCAACTGATTTTCTGGTCGGTTCCTTTGTAGGAATTTTATAGATTTTATAATGTACTTTGCTCTGGAGTGCAATTTGTATTTCCTTTGTTTTCTTCAGAAAGATTCTTACATTCTGGCAATATTTTATTCAGTCTTTTTAGTATAATATGGAACATCGCATAATATTTCACTTGTGGGATATTAGTTGTATTAAGTATTAGCGTATGGTTAACTTGCATAATTCTTTCGTTATTATCCCACCGAACGAAGTTCGAGGGGGATATAGAAAAGCCGTTCGTCCGTCCGTTCGTCCGTCCGTCCGTTCTTCCGTCCGTCCGTTCGTCCGTCCGTTCGTGTGTCCAGGCAATAACTCAAATACCGGTTGACGGATTTCACTCAAATTTTATAGGCTTATGCCTTATGGGTGTAGGACCTCTGCTCGAGAAGGAATTTTCAATATGGCTGCCAAATTCAAAATGGCGGCCATTTTTCCCAAAAAATATAATCTTTGATAACTCAAATACTAGTGGATGGATTTGGTTCAAATTTTATATGCTGTTGCCTGAGTACAAAGGAGCCTTGCTCAAGAAGACATTTTCAAGATGGCCGCCATATTTAAAAATGGCGGCCATTTTTCAGAAAAAACGTTATGTTTGATAACTCAAATACCATAGAATGGATTTGGTTCAAATTTTACATGCTGATGCCTAGGGACATAGGAGCTCTGCTCGAGAAGGAATTTTCAAGATGGCAGCTAAATTTCAAAATGGCCGCCATTTTTCATAAAAGAACGTAACCTTTGATAACTCAAATACCAGTTGATGGGTTTAGTTCAAATTTTATATTAGAGACAAAGAAGTTCTACTCAAGAAAATATTTTCAAGATGGCCACTGAATTTCAAAATGGCCACCATTTTTCGTAAAAAAAACGTAATCATTAATAACTCAAATACCAGTGGATGGATTTGGTTCCAATTTTATATGCTGATATTTAGGGAAAAAGGAGATCTGCTTCAGAAGAAATTTCAAAGGCATCAGCTGAATTTCAAAATGGCTGGCTTTTTTCATAGAAAAAGTTCATCTTTGATAACTCAAATACCATTGGACGGATTTACTTCAAATTTTATATCCTGATGCCTAGAGATAAAGGAGTTCTGCTTGAGAAGAAAATTTCAAAGTGGCTGCTATTTATCGAAATCTCCGCCATTTTTCATTAAACATGTAATCATTATCCTTGATAACCCAAGTACCAGTTGACGGATTTGGATAAAATTGAATATGCTGATGCCTTGGGACATAGGAGCTCTGCTAAGGAAGAAATTTAAAGATGTCAGCTGAATTTCAAAATGGCAACCATGATTCATAAAAACATAATTTTGATAATTCAAATACCAGTATTTATCAAAACATGTTTTGTTCGGTGGGATTTGCTACTCCGTGGAGTTGCTGTTTTTCTAGTTGGTACTTAGTTGTGAAAAATTGGTTAGGTCTTCCATCTTTCTCTTCAAGGGAAAATTTGCTTATGAGATATACTTGACCTTAACCAAACTTGACTATGGTTCAGACTGAATTGAAATGGCTTAGTGTTTTAAGATAGAAATATTATGTTTACTTTAGAATTATTTCAGTTTTTCTATGTCAGATAGGTGATATTTCTGACATTTTATGTTATATATGTATATTTATGACAGAATATTTTACCCGAAGTGTACATAAATCATGTATATATTAGGCTTAGTGCCTGAACAAGTAAATATTATATATTCATATATTTTTCACTCTACCTCTATTATAGTTGACTGTTTTATTAATATTATTACATTGTCAGTCTAATGCATAGCTGCATGAAATGAAATAGATATTCTTATCATTTACTTAGGTAGTAACAGATATGGTTGTGGTTTCTTGGAGCTTTTTGCACGAGACAAATGTTAATTTACTGAAGACTTATCACTCATCATCAAGATTCATCGAATTTGATTTTAGTGGTAGCCCACAATTTAAGTTTGATATTAAAGTTTTATTATATCATATATCTATCTGATGTTAAACACTTACATTTTTGAAATTATATCGAACTCTATAAGATTTATTGTAAAAAAACTTAATTTTTAAATACAATTTTGGGGTCAGGTTAAACACAAGTTTGTGGTTTTTCAATAAATGAGTATTAAATATAATGATATTATTATTAAGGGCAACTGACCTGGGGTGCATCTTTCTACAAGGGCACCCAGGTCTATATGAGATTATTTTGTAAATGTTGATTTAAGCAGTTTGTTTTATCTTTCTGGACACCTTGTATTTTATACAGGGTGTCCTCAATGAATGACTCATTAAGACATAAGCTAAGAATGTCGTAACTTAAGTGATCCCACCACTGGATTTTGTGAATTGCTACTGTGTGAAGCTGTGCAAAGGGCAACTATAAATGAATGGTAGAAGTTATTTTATTTCTTTTATCAAACATTTCCTGAAAACTCAATTGGGATGTTGATCTTGTTGACAACCAGATTGTGATTTAACTTTATACTTGTGATCTACGTCAAGTAAATCGGTTTTTAGATTTTTAACATTATGTCAGTGTAGATTTAGCCTGACCTTTTTCAGAAAACTTAAAAATCATTTGAAATTGAATACCAGAAAATAATGAAGAATATCAAGTTTCTTCTAGTAGAGAATTGCACACTGAATTTAAATATGTCATCTCATAGAAGAACATTTTAGTCCTTTATGGTTAAATATGCAAATCTAAAGTTCAAAGATATTTCAAAGTAGGACTGAGAGGTGGAGTACCCCAGGGGTCAAATATGGTCATCTCTATGATCATCTCTGAACCCTTGGATACTGATTGGTCAAATGACAGAAACAAAATTTTGTAATGATAATTTCTGGTGTGTTTACCAATATAATAGCTTGTTATTTCACGTCAAAATAAAGTAAGAAGTAATCGTACATCGGAAGAGGTGATTTGAGGTGGAATTGTACATCAGTTCAAACATCACATTGGTGTGTGGTAATCAGAAACTAGATGGTGGAAATATACTACCAGAGCCTCTATTTGTCAAATCATTTAATCATAAATTTTCTGTTTGAGTGTCCTTTATTGAATAAATAATCAATCTTTTTTAAAAACATAACTTTTGTTTGTTTTCTTACAGTGAATAATCATTTTAAAAACAAACAATAATCGCTTTGATTTTATACAAAGTTCCTTTTTTATTTCCATATTAAAATGGAATTAGCATTTTAGATTCTAATTATGTACACTATACAAGTCATATATATATATAAAACAATATAACTTAATTATAATAAAAAACCTTCTAGCAACATCTAGAAACAAAGAATAAGTTTTAATAATCTGGAACATTTTATCAACATACACTTACATCAACCCCTTCCCCATTAGGTATTGTCCTAAGTGAAAGAGGAGAGAGGGTTGAGGTAAGACTAATTAGGAAGTTTAAGCTTGCATGTAAAATCGAAACACCAACTGATATGTATGACCAATCGCCCATACAAATGAATCACTTAAATATTTTCTGTTCATATTTAGGTTGTGGAAAACATTGCAAGCTGAAACTCCCTATTATCAACATTTCACTAAAATACTGATGAAAAAGTTTCAGATTATATGAAGTGTACATGATATGATAATTTATAACAACTATTGTATAGATTTAATATGAATGAGTACTCCCTATAGATGGCAGACAACTCGTAAATTGACACCGCATAAATTAAAATTAGTAACAAATTTTCTTTTCATAAATCTTTTCTTTCATGTTCTTCAATATCAAGCGATCTTTGGTATCATCAGATGATCAATGTGTTTTTTGAGATTTTAAGCAATATTTTTATGGTAATAATGTACAGAATCAAACCCCCAAAATTTTATGCCATCTATAGACAGTCCCCAAGTCCATTGAAAACTCAAGCATGGTGTTTGTGCCAAACAGACAATTAAAATCATAAACACAATTTTGGTGATTACACAGACAAGCCTGCAAATAGGGAAGTAACTGAAGTTGTTAGGATTTTAGATCTACAGTAAAATCTGTCTTAGTGAACACCTGTCTCTAGTGAGACACATACTACACACAGACACAGATTACTCCGCACATACTCAACTGAATTCTGTATAAATTACCTTCTCTTTATTAAACAACTGCCAACACTGAACATTTTTTCTCTTCAAAAAAATGTTCAATATACACAGGTTTTACTGTACTTGTCAAGCTTAATTATGGACATTTCCATGTTATCTTCTTTATACATGCAGAAATTACTTATGCCTGACATACCACTGTAAACAAGGTCTAATGCTGCACCATGTTTGAAGGTTAATATTCAATGTATGACTAAGCACCAATAAGGTACAACACCCATGTCCTCTTAGTTATCAATGTGTCTGGACATAGGATCATCATTTTCATCAAAGTTAAATAACTGCTAAATAATATCTGTTGTTTTCAATTTTACCATATATGGGTAATCTCCTCTTCTGCTTAAACTGCTAGTAATAACTTAAATGTGCAGGCTTATTTTACAATTTTGCAATTTTACAATAAATTGGTTTAAGAAATGTGCTGGAATTGTGCAAAAAAGAGAGAGAAATTATTTGGGTGTTTTCACTTTTCAGATACACCTTTAAGTACTTTTATAAGTAATTCATTTTCAATAATATTTAAGTTGATCAGAACTTAAGATTTTAAAATCTCTGATGAAACTAGATACCTAATATATCAATTCACAAAGCACATTCTATGTTGCATTACATACATGTGTTTATTGAACACAATCTTATTGAATCATGTATGTGTAAAAAGTTTTTTTTTGTATTTTTTTGTAAAAAAATCCCTAGATTTTACTAAAATGTCAATTAATCTGCATTGCACGCTACTCTTAATGTACACACTTTTAAACCATCAGGCCTAAACAGTTAAAATACATGATGGTTATGCAGTGGAAGGTTTAGGATATATGGTATATCCTGAAGATACAATTTTTCCAAGCAGTAAATTCCATATCCAAAATCAACCATTAATAAACTGATTTATCCCACACTTACAAAAGTTAGTTCTCAAGAAATAGAAAATACATAAGTAGCAGAAAATATAGCCTTATCTCCCAGGGTTGAGAAAATATTACTCTTATCTCCCTCAAACCTTGAGTATGGGATAAAGGATTTTACTTTATTCATATTTGATTGTGAGACCATTTAAATCAGGGGTGGAGCAAGTGTTAACTTTGTGCTTGGTCCACCCCTGATTATGAGTGAGGAGAATCGGTGAGCACCAAATTGCATTTGCCCTAATATGTACATGCATCAATGGATGGTTCATCCCAGAGTTCATTTGCTCTTATATACATTCAAAGTGAGACAATCTCAGAGAACACTCTCCAATACCACAAACATGACATTGGATTTCCTCATTCATAATCATAAATATAAATACATGAGTATAAACACACATAAAAAACAAAGCATCAAGCTATTATCAAACACATTTTTTCATTTTGTCGACACATTGGAACAGTACATTCCAACACTAGATATTGTTAAAGATATTAAATTGGAATGAGAATATCCCTTGAAGCGTATTAACTTTTCAGATGAGTATTACTTTTACTTCATAGTGTTTGCACAAGATAAAATCCTAGACTAATTTTACTTCAATATCAAGTTACACTATTGAGGCCCCACTGCTGGACATCCTAATACCCCCTGGATTCATTCCATATCCTGGGTTACCAAAGTTGCCACCCTGCTCTCCCTCATCATACTGTGGTCCATTCCCATAATGCCCTGGTCTGTCTGCTCTCTGATAGCCTTGTGATGGATTAGAACTATATCTTGGCTCAGGATCATAATTTGTAGGGGGTGGTGGCCTTGCTGGATAGGAAAATTGATTTGGTTGTTGATAACCTCGGGGTTCCAACTCTGTATATGGGGGCTCTTGGATTGTACTGGGTAGAGGGGGTCTCTCGGGGACCTGAGGGGGGTCTGAGGATGCAGGAGAGTTTTGCTGGAATGGAGGCTGACCGAAGACCTGGGCTTGATTCTGGTAAACAGGCTGTTGTTTTCTTGATGGATTTGATTCAACAGATTGAGTTGGTCTTGAAGGATTTGACATTTGAAATTGAGGGGGCTGGGCTTGAGACATATGAGGCTGAGATTTTTGCCCATATGGTGGGGCATTATATGCAGAACTTGGGGGATTTTGTTGATTCTGATGTTCAGCTTGTGGCTTGATGACAGGGTTGGCATTGTATGGGTTAGCAGAATACCTCGGTGGGGGAGGGCTTTCTGGGGGGTAAAGCACTCTTGCAACTGAAGGATGGTTAGAGGACTGGGGGGCATTGGCAGGGAGTGAGGATTGTGGGGAACGTGTTGGAGGGGGTGGTTTGTTCTGTTGATTGTTATAGTTCTCAGGCACTTTGGGAGGCTGAGGTCGTCCTACATTTTTATATGGGGGTGAAGAGGGTGGGGAATCATTACGAGGTCTAGGGAACTCCCTGAGCTCAGGTGGTGGGGATGGCAAGGGAGGGGTTGTGGGTGAGCGTGACAGGATTTCTTGGCGATCATAAATATTTGATTTAGGCCTTATATTGTCCACCCTGGGTGGTCTTGTAGCCCCAGGTAGTGATCTATAGTCTGGTTGGCTAGCTCCAGGAGAGTTATGTTGCACTGCATTGTGAGATCTACTATCAGGATTATTTACATGTGATGATCTGGCTGCCTTGGGGGAGGAGGCAGCCATTGGAAGATCAGCCTTCAGTTGGCCCAAACTGGGTAGTGGCATAGGGGGCCTCTCAGGCTCTACCCCTTTAGCTGGCCTTCCTGGGGGGTTAGCTTGGTAGCCCCCACCTTGGGGGTGTCTATCAGCAGGTGGCTCCTCTTCAATTGTACTAGGATACTGGGCATGATGGATCTGCATAGGGGCATGCTTAGGGGGTCTGTATTGCCCATACTGCATATGGTTGCTCTCCCTACTACTGTTACTTTCCTCAGACCCAATACGTCGCACTTCAGTGCTAGGGTTACTGTTACTATGGTTACCAGCAGTTGTTTGAGTGTTGCCATGGCGACCATGAGGAGGAATGTGATTGCCATGACCAGCAGGATTTGTACTGATGCTTAAATTAGGGTCATCCTGGGATGTCTGTGAAGCATATGCTGGGGGTGATTCACTGTCACTCCCATAGTGGTGTTCATTATGGCTAACCTGTACCCATGGCAACTGTTCCCTAGGTGCCTCATCACTTTTTCTATTCGTCCTATTTGATCTTTGTGTATTATTTTCCTCTAGCCGATCACGTGATCTGCTCCTACTACCACGTCTATTCTGACTCCGTCCACTTGACCGAGTCCGATCTCTGGAGCGGTCACGATCTCGTGATCGGCTTCGTTTACTTGAACGGGTAGTTCCATTGTCAGTGGTATCCCCCTGAGGTGGCCTGCCACGACTGCGCTCGATCTCCAGAGTGGGGGCACCACTGAGTACACGTTCTACAGTGTCAAAGTTTGTTCTAGTATTAGTCTGGTAAGTCATGTTGTCATTATACTGATCCTGAGCTCCTGGGGTCTTGTAGCGCATCTTAATATACTCTAACTCATCATTGGCTGGTTGCACTGCAAATATAGATAGCGCTCATGAGTGACAATTATTCAAATCATCATCGGAAAATATAATTGAATAAGTCATTTATTAGAATATTATATCCTGTTATACAGGAGTGAGATAAGATATTTTTATGAAATATTCACCAACTAATAATAATTTTGGGTGGATCTAATATACATAATGTATTATACTCACTATAATCCATGTTCTTACATTAACAAAATCATATATAAAGTACAAGACAGGGGAACCACATGTGTTAATCTGTTATACAACATTTAGTACATATACAGACAATAAAGATACATACACATACTAACAGCAAGCAAAGCTAACAACTTAGTATATAAAGCAAAACACTATACATATACATACAGGCCCTATACTACAAACATAAGACCCTATACTAACAAAATGCCTAGTAGCAGGTATCTAAAATAGATTACATGATTGAAGATGCTTTAAGACTATTGTAAGTTCTGGGAGAGAATATTATGAATTTAAAATACAAATAATGGCAGCAAATACTTGTACAGTATAAAACATGGAAAACAAAAAACAACAATAAAGCAATAAAGTTGCATATGATATAATAGCTTAAAAGAGCTGATGAAAATTACAAATAGGATTTGTAACAATGTAAATTAAATAAAATATGTGTACGCTACATAAGTGTTCAAAACCTCCATACATGTATTTATCATTGAACAATGGTTTTATTCAATGATATTAGGCAGGTGTTTTCAATGTCTTTTTCAACAAAATGTTTTAGACATCAGCGTCATTGTAAAATGACAGTGATGTCCGGGTGTTAGATTTTGTATTGCACTGTATTGAATAAAGAACATATCCAAGTCACATGTGCCAATCAGATTGCTAGAAATTTCCCTGTCATTGAATATAATAATATGCCAATTACTGAAGGAGCGGATTCATTAAGCGATAATTTTATTGGCTGTTTTCCTTGGAAAAGTTCTTCACTGAATCTCACTAAATTTCTCAGCTCCTTCAACATAGAGTATGACATCATCCATTTTATCTATATTCACATTTCCAGTATCGTTACACTTTTCCTTATACTGGTTTCTTACATCAATTAAGTATAATATGTTTTGGGAAACATCCCAGATCCAGTTGATCATTATGTATATTGTCCATTTCACAGGTACCATCCAGAACCATTGAAGCAAGCAATCAATGGGGTCTGGATAACCATACATTTCCTCAACAGGTAAAATGTGACCTTATCTCATTTTACATGAACACTCCCGTAAGCGAAGATGAGCATCCTACAACTTGAACATGTTAAGCCCAGTCAGTAAAGTATTTACCTCATAGGGGCCTAGTGGGCATTCCTTGAGTTTCTATACAATTTATGATCATGCAACAGTCACATGCAGCATGCCTGAGTAAGCACATCATACAAGCATATAGCATTCCTGCATACTACAGTTTCTTCAATACAAGAACACCTATAATAGTGTTCAAGTGTTCAGCTATAGCATATACTGAGAGAAGGCATACATATTATAAGAGGGTGTAGGGGGACACTTCTCCATCTACGGCTTATACATGTGAAAATGCAGTATGCCTATACCTCTGTTGTCAAGCATGCAGTTGATCATGCAAACATACTTGACAAGAAGGAAGAATTATTCAACCCTACATGGAAGGATCAAGGACAAATTTCAGCATCATCAACCATGTTTCGTTTATCCTCCACATCTAAACAAAACTCCTCGAATTTGAAATTTACTCATTTTGAACCCAGTTAAAAACCCATTTCGTAAATGTTGTATATTAAAGAAATGAAATGTTTAAATATATTGACCAAAAGTTTTGACTGTTTTTGACAAAATTTGATGAAATCATAATTTTGCACCCCATTTAGGGAATACTCCAGAGGTTACAAGAGATGAGTGACGATGATGACCTTTGCCCTCAGAGATTCCCCTCAAATGCCTTCACATATTTATTTGACGACATTCCTAAACTTACCAAGGTCAATATTACTACCATGAGGGTTCTCCCTATTAGATCTCGAGCTCTGTCCTTTCGTGTAAGTCATCCAAGCAACTGTGGATTGCAAGAAAATTGGGGTAAACTCAAAGTTGAACAAACCACACAACGCACTATACAAGCTACTATTTAAACCTAGCTTAGATAAGTAACTTTTTACAAAATTACCTTATATGACAAGGAAGGAAAAAAGAGACACTCTTACATGGGGTTTCGTTAGCAGCAGGCAACATGTGATTTTCACCGGTTGTTTTCACAAAATTGCCCGTTGTTTTTAGGGACTTTTCAACTTTTCCATGTTAAATTTATGATTTCCATTAATTTTGCCTGTTGTTTTCATTTATTTAGCCTGTTGTGAGAAATTCTAGTGAAACCCCTGCTCTTATCACTTGTGTAAATTGTAGGATCAAGGGCGTCTCGCCCAAAATAACATTGATCTCTCGAATAGACCAGAATGGCAAATATTTTTTCAAGAACGAATCACGAGGGATCCCAGATTCACAGATATATGTGTCAAAGAGGACTGTTCTTTGATAGTTTTTATCCAATCTTCTGAAATTGAACATCACATATAAGGAACGAAATGTCCAAAACTGACAAAAATTTGCTCTTGATTCAAACTAGAATCCAAGTCTACATTAGGAGCAATTATCTAAGCTAGATGTTAGCAGAGCTTACGAGCTGGATATTTCTCAAAACTATTGGGCTACATTACTCATAAAGGATTATGAAGCAAGGGTATTAGGGTTTGGGGAATAGGAATTAATATTCAAATGCATGCATGTTGGTATGTTATTTCTGATATGAGCTTGTGTAAAGCAGTTGTAAGATGATGGTGCACTTAAAACTCTTGTCTTTCTCACTCAATATTTCATTCCCATTTGTATCAAAATCTACTGAATATCCAACAATGGAGGAAAGTTCCCAAGATGCATTCTGTGAAAAATTCAGATACCGTTCTGATTCTGTTTTCGTATGAATACATAACCGTATAACTTTATGATAAACACATAGACATAATTTTCAATCATAAGTGTATAGCGTTCCTTGGAAATATGATTGTCATTGGCCATCTTCCTGGAGGACCTGTGTAAAGAGGAATAGGTTAGACAATAGAGGGTGCACTGTGATATTTCGCAAAAGCAATGCTATTTAAAAAAGAAATAAGTGATGTTTTCTCAATGAGATATATACAATATGTTTCATGTTATATTTGTGACAAATGAAGCCTGCAATTCACTGAAAAGAAAGCTTACAAAAGATTTTAACAAAGAACACAATATAAGAATGTTAAAAATCATGGGCTCAAGGCATAGCTAGGCATGAGGTAGATGAGGCATTTTTCAATTGAAACTATGAAAATGAAGTCTAATGATTATAATACAGTGTCTCAATTTTTGCCTCACCTCTTCAAATTTGCCTCATTATTTTCATAGCCTGGTTACATCCCAACAGATGATTCATTGTTAATGGGAATACTTCATTTATATACTCGTACTTTAGTATATTTTTGTCTAAACTACAGTAATGTTATTACTTATGTTTGGCCTATTTCTTGAATTCTGATACAATTTTCATGCTGCCTAAACATTGAAGCAGTGGCCTAATTGTTCTCCAAATTGAAACACAAATCATAGTTCATTGTTTGTCTTAGCTTGTATTCACGAATGCAAATAATGGTTACCGGCTAGCAAGTTGATTGCAATTTGATGGCAAACTCATTTTAATATGAATAGCACCTGCCGTGTATCCTGGTGACTGATTAGCCAATTCGCTAACTTATGGGTTAATTTATGAAAATTAATAGATTAATCTGGTAGCTGACAGCCGTAAGTTGCATTCGTGAATACAAGCTAAGTTGTGCTTCAATCTAATATATCATGCCATCTACTGGTTGTGATGTCATCCTTCAGTTACTTGGCAGTCAGCAGAAATAGGATTAACCAATTTTCAAAGACTTCTAACAATTCTATTTTCAAGCATTGCTCTCTGCAAATCATGCAAAGTACAATACCAAATAATTACATCATTTATTGGAATATTCTATTCAGAGATGTATCATACATGCCACACATGCTTTGCACCTAAATATTCAGAACAAAGTTGTAAAGCAATGCTTTTCAAAAAGTTAGATGAAAAAGCAAGACAAATAATGTTCTGCATAGATTCATCATCTAAAAATCTATTTTAATAAATAAAGATTAAAAAATATCTAAGCTTGAGAAAGTAAGAACTCAGAACTGCAATATAATCTTTCTCTTTCTTGCATAAGTGTACTCTAAAAATATTCCTGCGCTAAAAAGTGATATAATAAACAATCATCACACACACAGCCATAGACCTACACATAGATGGAGTTACTATCACCCAAGCATACACGTCAGACATTTCCTCAATACAACTTTTTCAACATTGAGAAAATGAAGATTTTTAAACCTTATAAATATCCCTTCCAAGTTCAGTTTTTATGGCATCTAACACATAAAATGGCTCCTCATGCAGTATATGGAACATAATAGCAAATACTTTTAGAAAGTTGACCCATTTCTTAATCTATACATAGAAAACGAGGTGATACTGTATGCTATTTCTAAACACTGAAGTGAAAATCCTTGATTTTATCAACAAATGACAGGTGTTATGTTATGTTAATACATAGGCCAAAATAGGATTTCACACAGAAGCCAATACAAAACAATATTGTGATATTATTTCCATGCATAAACAATTACTTATCTAAAGTGAGAAAACCTCACAAAGAAATGACCGTAAGAACCAAAAACATACAAAAGAGCTGATTATTTTGAAATCAACTAACAAAAAAGCCAATATGCAAACTTGGGTGATACAAACATTCCAACTACCTTGCTAAATTGACCTTTTGACCCAATGTTGACCTTCACCAAAATTCTTTCTGATAAATTTTTATATTCTTCTTATATTAGATTTTCAGTCTTTCAACAAATGTTCTAGTTAAACTTAATAAATAAAATGCAAAAACATATAAAAATTTGCAGAAAATAAATTGTAATACTTGCTTGACCATTATACCAGAGAAAATTATTCTGAGTATAAGTCAATGGCAAGGGTGAAGGTCATTTAGGTCTGAGGTCAATCACGTAGTTATGTGGATCATGGTGAAAGTCGATACGTACACATACATAGGCTGCAGCTGCATATGCGATGATTTCGTGGGCGATTGATACGCTGAGTATGTATCAAACCCACCTATAAAATCAACTGCAAGTAGAGAAATGATCACATTAAAATCATCCCTTATATTAATATTGATAGCCGACTACCACTGGAACCATTTTTCAACTGAATAACATTTACATATTTTAGTGTACTCCACCATGCTAAAATGGTAATAATAATCAACTGAAATCACAAATCCTAAAGAATAGTTCCCTTCGAGACATTCAGGGAATAGTCATAGCTTATATATTACATAACTTTTCCATTAAGTTTGGCTTAGGTGGCATTGCTATCAATGTAATATGGATGAGGTGTGAGTTCAAGTCCTATGAGAAGGGAGTGACATTTTACAGCGGCTCAGCTCTATTCAGGGGCGTCATATTACTAAATCTAATATATAATTAAAGCCATGAATGTTCAGAAAATGCACTAGCATAGAAAGGTTTGGATGTAACAGTTTGAAATATAGAAATACATTTGGAAAAGTTTGAAACTGCTATTTACAATCATGAAAATAAAATATCATAATAGGAAAGAGATATCTAATATACTACTTGAAATAGGCCAAATAGAACAAAGACCCTTTTACATGTTGGCCTGCAAAAGGACAAGAATCTCTAGAAAATGTCCTATTCAGCCTACCTTAAGTGCAGGGTTAGTAAAATGGATTAAAATACTAACAGAGTAAAATGCTAAATATGCATGGATTCACTATTACAGAACATTATAACATTATAATATTGTGCTAAATGTGCTCTTAAACATGGTGCTCTTAATGCAAATTGAATTCAGAATTTAATGGCTAATTATCATTTCTAGTACTCAAAGTGACTTGTAATGCAAATGTATAAGATGTACCTAAAATGGAGTTATAGTTAAACCCCAACGTACACCAATGGGAACAGCATAGACTTATTATTATGCACACTGTGCAAAGCTTGGTGGGACGTTTACCTTAGGGACTCAAATAGAATAAGATCCCATGTGACTTGATGGGCCCATTGGTGTACATTGGGCTTAATGGTGTTCTTATCAACACAGATATACAGAACTCAAGCATAAATTCCTGTATTGACATATATGACATGGAAAAGGAGTGAGTTCAAATCCCACATCTACATCCTCTCCCACATACATTAATAAAAGAGCACAAACGTACAATAAAGTAAATTTTAATACTTGAGAAAACAAGGTTTATTTCATACATGTACAGTATCAAACATGCAAACTCCATTCAGAAAACACATAGACACAAGAAACAACACTCAGACACAATAATACAGATACAAAACAGAAACAAACAGTATGTAGTAACAAAAGAAATACAAAACAACAGTAAAGAAAAATCAAATGTTAGATTAAGGCAGAACTAATTGGGTGTTAACTATAAACTACAGAAGCATGATGGGGGGAAAGAATTACACATAAATTAAGTTTTTCCTGATATATGTTAGCTTTTAAAGCTTAAGGTATAAACGATACAAAAAACAATACATTGCACCAAGCCCACATTTTGTGAGGTGCAGATGACACCATACAACATGAAATTCTATAATTGATATACAGCATGAAAATTAACTTGAAAAACAGCAACTCCCTGGGGTAGTATATCCCAATGTATCCTGACAGACAAACAGGTGGATGGACGAATAGACAGACAACTTCTCAATATCCTTAGTTTAATTTAGTTAGATTTGATAATAAATAGTTGATTGATATACCAGGTGAGAAATACAAAATGTAATTTTGCTTTTGATTTACTAGTATACAATGAAAACTAGAAAAACAGCAACTCCACGGAGTAGCAAATCCCACCGAACAAAACATGTTTTAATAAAAAAATTGAGCCAAATTCATCCACTGGTATTTGAATTATCAAATATTATGTCTATATGAAACATGGTTGCCATTTTGAAATTCAGCTGTCATCTTTAGATTTCTTCTTTAGCAGAGAATGTCCGTCCAATGGTATCTGGGTTATCAAAGATTATTTTTTAATGAAAAATGGCAGCCATTTTGAAATTCAGCTATTGCCTTTGAAATTTCTTCTGAAGCAGATCTCCTTTTTCCCTTTACATGAAAAATGGTGGCCATTTTGAAATTCAGTGGCCATCTTGAAAATTTATTTTTGAGCAGAACTTCTTTGTCTCTAGGTATCAGAGTATAGAATTTGAACCAAATCCGTCAACTGGTATTTGAGTTATCAATGGTTACGTTCTTTTATGAAAAATGGCGGTCATTTTAAAATTTAGCTACCACCTTGAAAATCCCTTCTCGAGCAGAGCTCCTATGTCCCTAGGCATCATCATGTAAAATTTGAACCAAATCCATTCAATGGTAATTGAGTCATCAAAGATAATATTTTTTTATGAAAAATGGCCACCATTTTGAAATTTAGCTGCCATCTTGAAAATTCTTTCTTGAGCAGAGCTCCTATGTCCCTAGGCATCAGCATCTAAAATTTAAACCAAATCCATTCAATGGTATTTGAGTAATCAAAGATAACGTTTTTTTACGAAAAATGGCCGCCATTTTGAAATTTAGCTGCCATCTTGAAAATCCTTTCTCGAGCAGAGCTCCTATGTCCCTAGGCATCAGCATCTAAAATTTGAACCAAATCCATTCAATGGTCTTTGAGTTATCAAAGATAACGTTTTTTTACAAAAAATGGCCGCCATTTTGAAATTTGGTGGCCATCTTGAAAATGTCTTCTTGAGCAAGGCTCCTTTGTACCAAGGCAACAGCATATAAAATTTGAACCAAATCCATGAACTAGTATTTGAGTTATTAAAGATTATATTTTTTCCGAAAAATGGCCGCCATTTTGAATTAAGCGGCCATATTGAAAATTCCTTCTCGAGCAGAGGTCCTACACCCATAAGGCATAAGCCTATAAAATTTGAATGAAATCCGTCAACCGGTATTTGAGTTATTGCCCGGACACACGAACGGACGGACGAACGGACGGACGGACGAACGGACGGACGGCTTTTCTATATCCCCCTCGAACTTCGTTCGGTGGGATAAAAATGTAAAATGAAGTTTTGTGGTTCATAAAAATTATAACAAAAAGATTGTGTGATAATCAAACTACAACAACAACAACAACTACTACTTCTAATTCTATATGTAACTGATTTGGCAACATTGAACAAGAAAGGGTGACTAGAAAATGACATAAGAAACAATTTGGATAACTTTTATTCAACACAACAATTACCTATGGGGTACATCTAAAACCTCAGATATTTAAAAATGACAAGATTGTCCAACACTGAATACCTCCATTGGCAAGCGTAAAATGCCACCCAACAACATAAAACCAAAGGAGGTGAAAATCCATGGTTGTCATGCCTTTCTCAAACATAACATGATAAAGAAAGGAATGGAATGAATAAGTGCGAAATGTTTTGAAAAGAAAAGCATGAATGACCATGAAGGGTTTTATCCACTTACGAATCCCATAAATCCAAAATGACAAAAACCCAATGATGCAAAAATCACGATACGGAATTAACAGACGGAGTATCAAATTGATCCTGGAATGAGATGTAGGTGGGTGCGGTCCAACTTTCACGTGTGGGCGTGGTGTCATGCATTTGATTGACAGCTTCGACAAGTGGGCGGTCACATGCATAGGAGAGGTCCGCGAGCACATAGAATTGGGACTGAGGAGAGGAGTACTTACAAGAATCATCTTCTTCCGTAAATATATATATCACATAGCAGGACACTATAAATCCAATGAGCTGAAAATATACAAAAATAAAATATAAAGTGAAACCTGTAATGTGGAACACCTCTGTTAGTGGAACACCTCTAGAAGTGGAACACTTTTCAGAGTACAAAGTGCACTGGAACACCTCTAGAAGTGGAACACCTCTGTAAGTGCCACACTTTTTAGAGTCCCAATTACACTGGAACACCTCTAGAAGTGGAACACCTCTGCTAGTGGAACACTTTTCAGAGTCCCAAGACCAACTGACTGACTTAATGTCAAATGATCCTCTGTAAGTGGAACACCATTTAGAGGAACAAAAGGTGTTTCACTAGACAGGTTTACTGTACAGTAAAACCTGTCTAATCACAATGCAGCTGTAAGGACCGGACACAAGTGTTCAACATGACAGGTGTTCATTTTGATTTTTTAACAAGGAACAAGAAAAATGGGACTGAAATAAAGTGTTCACATTGAAAGATGTTCAGATTAGAGAGGTGTTTGTATAAACAGGTTTTACTGTAGGACATGTCTTATATTGATTTTACATTATGTTTTATCATGAACAGGGGTCAAAGAATTTTTAAGTGTTTTTCTTTTGTTGGTTTTTACATGTTTATGATCAATGAACTAAATAAAGATTGATATTTGCACATTGTGGAAATTACATGTCAGAGAAGTCTTGATTATAATAAATCTATATAATGTACAGTCAATATAAAACAGTTTGTTTAGCACACTTAAAACCAATACAAATCACAGGGGATATTGCTTTTGGATTGCATGTAAGTGAAATAGATTATGAAGTTGAAGTTACATTACAAATATCAAACAGCTAAATTTCTGAGGAATATTTAACTAATAAAATAATAATGTTACATGAAACATCAATTTACATTTGATTGATCAATGGATCAAATTTGAAGAATTTTCAGTGAATGTGTTGCATTTGCAGACAGATGGACAGAAGGATGGACAGACAGCCTTCCAGTACATAATGTCCCATTCACTTACCGTTAATAGACACTGTACGCCAGCATGAATAATCTCCACCCAGTAATACTGTAAAATACAACCCGACACGGCCCACTCTGGGGGGATCTGCCGGCTTGTGAATGATTCATGAACCTCTGGGGTTGTCTGGTTGACCTTACAACCAATACCATTATCCAACCACCACGATTTGTTCCCTGTACCCAGGTTTAGTATGGAACTGTCCTGAAATCAAAAAGTACACAGAATTAATCTATAATAACAGTAATCAATTCTATACAAGGCATTTACATACAAAATGTCACCACATGACAAATAACGACCACCAAACACTGTCTTCAGAAAAGTTGGAGACTTGAACAATATGATAATACTGTACTATTTCTTAGATTAAGCCCAAATCACCAAATTCATGATGACATTTACTTGAATTGAGTCATGCTACAATTATAATTCCCACAAAAATGAAGGCTTTCGTTAGATTACTAAACTGTACTAAATGTTATAATTTTCCAATTTTTCATCAGATCAGTTGAATATTATATCAATAAATCACAATTCAATTAATTTAGTGAGTATTGCAGATCATGAATATATTGAGTGACATAAATCAGGAATTAAGATGATCCTTTTATATGACTCATAGAATAATAACACAGCCACACTCTAAAAAGATTTCTATGATTTTGATCTATTTTATAACTTATATTAATATTTGATGATTTGAAATTATTTTTTTTAGTTAGTTACAAAATATATACCAGCCATGGTTTTTCAATTTATAACTACAGAATAAACTTCAATGAATATCTGTAGTTAACTGATACAAATAAGAGCTACATATACAATAAGTATACTTAAAAATCTTGCAACTTATATTGTTTTTGTTTTTTTATCAAAGATTAATGCATCCTGCATACTTTCCACCCAAGTCAAGTAGAACCAGAAATGCTGACTTACCACACTCAAATTTTTTATTCCATGAGTTCAAAATATCTAATCTATAAGGCCACAGAGTATACGATGGCTAGAAGAGGGGGCCACACCATGCTGAACTAAGTTATTTGTATTGTCTAATCCTAGTGTTAGCACATGGTATGACGATTGGATCTTAGTTACTAAATCTTATCTGTTGTACTGCTTTGAAAGAGAACAACTAACAACTAAAGCCTACTATCTCCATATAGAAAGGTCATAGTGACTGTTTCCACATTTGTTAACCATTCCTAAATCACCATGTAATTATCTTCATTCAAATCCCTGAAAATTGCATCTCTAATGAATCAGATCAGTGCTTGATTTGAATAAATTTCAAGTGAGGTAGATTACATTGTGTTTTATTCTATTTTCTGTGAGCTAAGTTAGCGTGACATTCTCGGTAAGTGGAGATAGACTAATAGATACTTCACCTTCAACTGTGTTTCTAAGGCTACTACTTACAAATATCCACCCTTAGTGCCAGAGCTTAATAACTAGCCTCTGAATGTGAGAAATTAATAAACAGTTTTGTTGCAGATGAGATGTAAATGACTCAAAAAGTAGCTGCTTTAGTGGCTTTTAATTAGATTCTGATCGATTCAGGTAAGATCAAAGGATAATCTCAAACTTAAAGAATGTAGACGAAGCTCTCTTTTTGAAGACACAAAAACTATTGAAAAGGGTAACTCATACCAGCAGTCAGTAGTTGAGCTGGGATGGAAACAATTACCATACCTGGCTATCTCATTTCACATTCAAACTCCCATAAAAAGCAATGAAAGCTACATTCGAGAAAGCTATAATGGGATTTGTAGTACTCTGAGGGTACTATGCTGGCAAGATGACATGGTTTTACTCAGATCAGATCAGACAAATTGTTTCTTATTTAGCCTGGAGACACAAAGTCAAACTCTAACAAAGAGTCCATTGTCTGGTACCTAAACAAACTGAGAGGAGTTCAGGCCCGTAGCCAGGATTTGCCAAAGGGGGTCCACCTTTTGAAAAATCCCAGGGGGGTTCACTTGTGACAATTTTGGTCCAAAAATGGTCAAAATCACTTAAAAAGTGCTCAGAATGGTGAAAAACTGCATGATTTTGAGAGAAATTTTGGCCCAAATCCCCCCCTGGCTAGGGGCCTAGGAGTTTCCTATTTCAACAATAAGATAAGATATATACCTAAGAGGGTCATCTATAGCAGGGTTCTGACACATTGAATAGAGAATGATAGTGTTGTATTTTGGTAATATGAATATGTATTTTTCTCTGATTAATAAGGATTGTTAACAACAATCGGCATGACGATGAAGGTCTTTTGAAAGAAGATGTATATTCGACCAAGAAACAACAAACACATTTGACTGATTGTGTTCTATTTTAGAAATATGAAATAATGAACACACGATTTATGCCATTGCCAAAAGGATATTCTTAAAAGTGCATTTTCTCTGACTCATGAATATCATGAACAAGAATAAGGAAGAATGTGAAGCTCTCTTTTAAGAACCAAAATTAGATTGGAAAGTAACCCTTTAAAGCAAATATTTCTGGTACATATGCCTAGTACTGATAGGTATTCTGACATTTTTAGTAACACTCATTAATTATCATATTTTCAATTTCTGTTATCTGCACTGCATTACCAGTTTGTTGCAATCAAAACCAGAAAACAGGAGTTATCATTAATCATATTTGATTTAATTTAGAAAATATTATTTTTATAAATGTTTCTTCCCTGTTGCATCTGTTGTACCAAACCATTGTTCACAGTAATACAGTAAATCCTTTAAATGTGAACATTTTTGGTTTAGCAAAAATGCTAGCTAATAATGGCAAATGCTACTATTTGAGTGGCAGCATATCCAGGAATATAAATTTTTCAATAATAACATAGTTAAAAACACCATTAAATGAACAAAACCTGGAACAATAATGTGAGCTACCCAGAATAAAAATAGTTTTCAAATCAAATCAAATCATGAGATTGGTATGGGATGAGTATGCATATTAGGGGTTATACTGTATGTATATCTTTCTTGAGTAAGAGCCAGAAAATGATCAGCTGGTTAAGTTAGATAACTTAAGGATCAATTAGCGATTTATTGCACAAACTAAGAATTACATGATTGAGATGTAATAATATTTATTATTCTAAACTTGAATTACATAAGTGATCTTACCTCTGTGTTTGTTTCGATTATAAACAAGCGCTGATATTGATAAAACATTTTTGATATTTATATGATCCAAGACTACAAGCATTATATGATATTGGGGGAATACATGTATATATATTTTGTGATGTCGGAGCTAAGACCTGATAAAATCATGAAAATATATGATCTTGCTATAATATATATGAACAGGTGAAAAAATTCTTACAGAAGCCACTTGAACTGTTAACCACGAACTTAAACCGAAAAAGTTCCTAAACCTAAAAAATACTGGAACACTTCAGATCATTTATTGAAGTACATTTTATATAGTCAAATGCCCCTTTACTCTAGTAGCTCATGCTGGTTGAGTATGCACTTCTATGTCCAGAGATTTTCTCTTCAGAAATCATCTATGTGAAGGTCATTGATCAATTTTGGCTTGGTAACATATTTGCCACTGAAGGCGAAATAGGTCAAATGGCCACGCCCTTTTTTACGCAAATACTCCCCCCCCCATTTTTGCATCTCCGGAACCGTTGGACATAGAAGGTTGTGTGACCACTCAAAATGTCCGGAATGGCCACATTATAGGGGGTCAATAATACATTTGTATTTAAAAAAGTCAATGGTTCTCAAGATATTTCCCAAAAACTGATTTTAGAATGAAAACTCCACTATTTTCTCCTTTGATCCTGTCCCTAGCTCTGATTTCGTTACTCGGCTGGGAAAAAAGGTTTGTTGGTATCATTTTATTCCAGACACTCTCTAGAATAAATTCATCTTGGGTGGAATAAAAATGTGTGGTAAACGAATTCGCTATGGGCAGTTAAAGAGGCGCCATCTATTCATTTTCAAACAGGGGGTAGGGGTATAAAATAATTTTTTAACACATTTTAATAGTAAAATGACATTGAAATACTAATAAAATCTTATCAAAAACATTATTTACAATCAGTATGAATTTTCTTGTGTGGATTAGGGTGAAAATAAGGGCATATCTTGAAATTCACTACAGGGGCGCCACCTATTTCTGTACGTGTACTAACTTATTTTAGATTCGTTAAGGTACGAAATGTACTGAAAAAATTCATTCTGAAGGACCTATACATGTTCATACCACATACTTAAAATTAGATCAATAGCTTATGTACCAGCGGAGAAAAAATTTAAGTCCAGAGATTTTCTCTTCAGAAATCATCTATGTGAAGGTCATTGATCAATTTTGGCTTGGTAACATATTTGCCACTGAAGGCGAAATAGGTCAAATGGCCACGCCCTTTTTTACGCGAATTCTCCCCCCCCCCATTTTTGCATCTCCGGAACCGTTGGACATAGAAGGTTGTGTGACCACCCAAAATGTCCGGAATGGCCACATTATAGGGGGTCAATAATACATATGTATTTAAAAAAGTCAATGGTTCTCAAGATATTTGCCAAAAACTGATTTTAGCATGTTACGCACAACAGTTTTCATCTATCCTGCATCATTTAAGACTGAATCCGCAGCTTCTATCTAGTCAGATCAGCGAAGGAAACAAACTTTTTTGGTTGTTGAGTTGAAAATTAAAATTTTTTAAATGTATAATCATATTCCTACATCTTATTAGTATAATATTATGACAAAGCAAGAGTACGTACACCATTTTGAGTTTATTTGAGATACATATGCTCCATATTTTGGAAGTTATTAAGGTGACATATGGTCACCCCTGGGACGTCAGAAGCCAAAATGAGAATTAATAATTTCTAAAATGTACAATCATTTTTCTACTTCTTATTACTAATATTATGACAAAGCAAGAGTACATACACCATTTTGACCACATTTGAGATACATATGCTCCATATTTTGGAAGTTATTAAGGTGACATATGGTCACCCCTGGGACGTCAGAAGCCAAAATGAGAATTAATATTTTTTTAAATGTACAATCATTTTCTTACTTCTTATTACTAATATTATGACAAAGCAAGAGTACATACACCATTTTGACCACATTTGAGATACATATGCTCCATATTTTGGAAGTTATTAAGGTGACATATGGTCACCCCTGGGACGTCAGAAGCCAAAATGAGAATTAATATTTTTTTAAATGTACAATCATTTTCTTACTTCTTATTACTAATATTATGACAAAGCAAGAGTACATACACCATTTTGACCACATTTGAGAAACATATGCTCCATATTTTGGAAGTTATAAAGGTGAGATATGGTCACCCCTGGGACGTCAGAAGCCAAAATGAGAATTAATATTTCTAAAATGTACAATCATTTTTTCTACTTCTTATTAGTAATATTATGACAAAGCAACAGTACATACAACATTTTGAGCACATTTGAGATGCATATGCTCCATATTTTGGAAGTTAATAACGTGAGATATGGTCACCCCTATCCTGCATGATACCAAAATTTTAAATTTCAATAAATTTTTTCTCCGCTGGTACATAAGCTATTGATTTAATTTTAAGTATGTGGTATGAACATGTATAGGTCCTTCAGAATGAATTTTTTCAGTACATTTCGTACCTTAACGAATCTAAAATAAGTTAGTACACGTACAGAAATAGGTGGCGCCCCTGTAGTGAATTTCAAGATATGCCCTTATTTTCACCCTAATCCACACAAGAAAATTCATACTGATTGTAAATAATGTTTTTGATAAGATTTTATTAGTATTTCAATGTCATTTTACTATTAAAATGTGTTAAAAAATTATTTTATACCCCTACCCCCTGTTTGAAAAGGAATAGATGGCGCCTCTTTAACTGCCCATAGCGAATTCGTTTACCACACATTTTTATTCCACCCAAGATGAATTTATTCTAGAGAGTGTCTGGAATAAAATGATACCAACAAACCTTTTTCCCAGCCGAGTAACGAAATCGGAGCTAGGGACAGGATCAAAGGAGAAAATAGTGGAGTTTTCATTCTAAAATCAGTTTTTGGGAAATATCTTGAGAACCATTGACTTTTTTAAATACAAATGTATTATTGACCCCCTATAATGTGGCCATTCCGGACATTTTGAGTGGTCACACAACCTTCTATGTCCAACGGTTCTGGAGATGCAAAAATGGGGGGGGGGAGTATTTGCGTAAAAAAGGGCGTGGCCATTTGACCTATTTCGCCTTCAGTGGCAAATATGTTACCAAGCCAAAATTGATCAATGACCTTCACATAGATGATTTCTGAAGAGAAAATCTCTGGACATAGAAGTGCATACTCAACCAGCATGAGCTACTAGAGTACTTACATTATCATAATTGTAGAATTGAACCTGTGGTCTTGTTTGTTTTGTTTTTATAAGGCCTAGTTTTAACTTCATATCTGTACAAAAATTGTATTTTATAGATATGTTGGCCATTGGTATGTATATTCCCCTCTTCCCCATGTATTTGTATTTAATAAGATAAAGTACCCAGTCGAGAGAACTATAGCTAAGATGTTTAACTTGAATATGCTAAAGTGTGTGTCTTACCCTGGGTAGGCTACTGTACTCCCCTCTTCCCCATGTATTCAATAAAGAGAAAGTGTTTAGTCGAGAGAACTATAGCTAAGATGTTTAACTTGAATATGCTAAAGTGTGTGTCTTACCCTGGGTAGGCTACTGTACTCCCCTCTTCCCCATGTATTCAATAAAGAGAAAGTGTTTAGTCGAGACAACTATAGCTAAGGTGTTTAACTTGAATATGCTAAAGTGTGTGTCTTACCCTGGGTAGGCTACTGTACTCCCCTCTTCCCCATGTATTCAATAAAGAGAAAGTGTTTAGTCGAGAGAACTATAGCTAAGATGTTTAACTTGAATATGCTAAAGTGTGTGTCTTACCCTGGGTAGGCTACTGTACTCCCCTCTTCCCCATGTATTCAATAAAGAGAAAGTGTTTAGTCGAGACAACTATAGCTAAGGTGTTTAACTTGAATATGCTAAAGTGTGTGTCTTACCCTGGGTAGGCTACTGTACTCCCCTCTTCCCCATGTATTCAATAAAGAGAAAGTGTTTAGTCGAGACAACTATAGCTAAGGTGTCTAACTTGAATATGCTAAAGTGTGTGTCTTACCCTGGGTAGGCTACTGTACTCCCCTCTTCCCCATGTATTCAATAAAGAGAAAGTGTTTAGTCGAGACAACTATAGCTAAGGTGTCTAACTTGAATATGCTAAAGTGTGTGTCTTACCCTGGGTAGGCTACTGTACTCCCCTCTTCCCCATGTGTTCAATAAAGAGAAAGTGTTTAGTCGAGACAACTATAGCTAAGGTGTTTAACTTGAATATGCTAAAGTGTGTGTCTTACCCTGGAGAGCACTCCCACTTGAAGGTAGAAGCAGATGACGAAAATGTTCCAGCCCAGCCATAGCAGACTCCATAATGTGTACTGAAATTGAAATAGAAATAAGTTAATTCAATAAATGATATCATTTATTTAGAAGAAAGAGATAATATTAAAAGTGTTCGTGAAGTCATAGAAAGGGACATTCATTATTTTTATATGTTTGCCAAAATAAAGTAGCTTAAACAGCACATTGTTTATGTAAATAATACATCATATTTTTTTCATTTTTGATGAGTCAATATTGTGTCCTCCCATAGATCCTATTTGTTTGGGTTTGTTGCCAAAAAAAGAATCTTATCTTAATGCAGAGGTTTTCCACTGATGCTTTCTGGAGTGAAATACCACTTTTTTAATTGTAACACAAGACAGGTTATTTACTGGGAGGGATCGAATATGGGTTTTATTCCGAGGGACAATATGATATTGGCCGAATATGATATTGTCCCAAGGTCAATATCATATTTTCCGAGGAATAAAACCCATATTCAATCTCGACCAGAAATAACCTACATGTAATTATTCCATAATACATTCCTCTAAAATGTTACATTTGGATAATGCTTTTATCAATTAGCCAATGTTAAAAATAACCGGGAAACCAAAAATAGGTTAATATACGTTCCAATACCATTTTTTCCCGGGGACAATACGATTTTTCATGTAATACGATTCAAAACGATTTTTATTCCTTCATATTTTCCTGGGAAAACAGTAGTATTATGGAATAAAAGTATCATATTCCAATCTATACAGTACATCTTCTTTAAAATATTCATAAATGAATTATTTATATGTTTTTCAGTAAACAATAAGAGTGACTGATATCTATCACATCATGTCCAATTCCCCACTTATTCTACTGGGTTTTCATTTCAAACATCACTGACCACAATGCAATTTGACTTATGGAATACCATAAAAATAATGATTTCTGGCTACTGGAAAGAACCGATTCTAATCAACTGAAGTATTGGTTTATTATCCCAATTGAAATTCCGGATATTAATATAACGGTTTAATTCAACCAATTTTGATTCCCTCAGATTGAATGCCAAGGAAAGTAAATATAATACTAAGTGATGGTGCTCAGTGGTCCAAAGAAATTTGCTAGTATAAAATGAATACTTTTCATTAAATATCATTCAAAATACAGGAAATCTCAATATACTGTCAGGCATGTAGCCAGATTTTGCCAAAGGGGAGGTTCACTTTTGAAACAATTCTGATCATTTTGGCCAAAAATTACTTGAAAAGCGCTCAGAATGATGAACACTGCATGCTTTTAAAAGAATCTTTGGCTGAGGGGGGGGGGGGCGTGATTCACTCTCACCCCCTGAACCATGTACTGATAGTACTATAAAAAATAGACAATCATGCATTATGCAATAGTTTTGCAGTGGAGTGTTTCTAAGTAACAAGATTAACTAGCCAGACAGGTCGAGTGGGAATATCTCATTTCTACACTGAAGAATAGGAGGAAGTACCCTTTACAAGACCTTCGCTTATATCTACTCAAACGTAGTCAGGGGCGTAGGAAGGTGTAAATACAACACTACGCCAAAAATCCCGCCAAAAAAATATGAAACAATTGTGTCAATATTCTATATCAAAACGCCTATATTATGCTCGTAAAACGTCATTTTATGGTAACAGAGATTTCAAGCTTGCAATATTCACAACCTAAATGTGAACGGAAATACTTAAGCGATGCATTTGTATGGGCGATTGGTCATACGTATAGGTTGGCGTTTCGATTTCATATGCAAGCTTAATTTAAATCCCCGATACCTTTTTAATGTGCTTTAAAATGTTCGAATGATTTTCATCATTTCCATCGTGTACCATGCAATACAATACGTACAGATTAAAGAAACTAGTTTGATCAATTGATATAAAGAAACGCATTCGTGATCAATGAAACAAATAAATACACCCACCACAAAGGTCAAATCGAGGTCAACGTGACTTAGGGGATGCCAAAAAATGTTATAAAACCAGAATCTATTATTTGTCAAATGAAAAAAAACTAGGTTATCGCTTTTCTAGAACTGAAATCAATGGAACGTGTAATTGAATAATCAGCATTTTCAAGTTGTTTTTGTCTTTAACATCCATATTTCAAAAAGTACTACCAATAACAATTAGTGATTTAGTAAGAAAATAGATAATTGTTGACTTAACTATAATTTCGTGTCTATGATTTTGCATAGCAACGGAATATAAATCGATAGTGAAATTGAAAAATTGGGGTAGGGGAAAATAAAAAAAATATACATCTAAATTTAAATAGGTTCATCATTATAATTATATGATACCATAGTTAGCATAAGCATTACGGAAAATGCAGAAAAAATGTCAAAGGTATCAAGTTCATAAAGTAGTTTTTGAAAAAAAACAGCTTTCCTCTCAAATTCGTGAAGAGAACGCGATTCACGAATATTTGGCGAAATTGTATTTATAAGACAGTCAATAGTGGCTCGATTTTCATAAAATAAAGCATGTTGGTAAGGGAATTCAATCTGTTAAATGATATTTGCCAGACAGACCAATAATGATATGGTATCCACAAAACATTTCTTTAGGCTAGTGTGCTCGAGATTACTTTTACAATTTAAACAATGAGAAAATATGACTAAAGAACATAGGAAAGTTAAAAAGTCTTTTTTATTCTCACTTTTCAATACTACGCACTGGGGTTTTGGCGTACATTGTTCCTACGCCACTGGTAGTATATGGTCGAAAAAGTTTTCAATAGTCAATGGATGGTGATAATACTAATACCATACGATAACTTCATTTCAGCGGGCAACATAATGAAAAAATATTAAATGAGATTATTGGTATATTCCTTTTACAATTGATCAATAGAATTAGGTCATATCAATGATTAAATCTGTAAAAGTGTCCATTATAGGCAGAGGGTGGTGCAGCTTGCTGATATGAATCCAGGGTAAGGAGGAAAACATTGCAACAGTTAATTCAGATAACATATCACAGAATTGAACAGACCTCGGAAACGGATTCTAAAATATCATATAATCAAGATATTATGAAGATATGATTGATTATAATAAGGCTAGTGCAAAGGCCCAATGACTGGGAAATCAGAAAATATAAATACTGTAAGCACTGTTCCAAAACTAGTTACTTTGACGAAACGTCAATGTAACAAAATGGATGAACTTCCTGCATATGAGTTTTTTGTTTTCTTGATTTAAACTTACGAAAAAATTGATGTTGCAGATTATCATTTGGCACAAAGTTAGACAATATAGTCTTGCTTTTAGAAATGCTCTTGGTTTGGAATTTGATTTTTAAATAAAGCTGTTATTCATGCATTTAGATCATCGCTTTTGTTACATTGACATAAGTCATCAAAGTAACATGCATTGCTAATATTACGGACTTTCATCAATGTAACAAAAGTGAGGGGCTAAATATATGAATAGCAACTTTATTTACAAAACAAATTCCAAATCAAGAAACTTATTAAAACTAGACTATACTTTCTAGCTTAGTGCCAAATTATAATCTGCAACTTGACCTATAAGTAGGTTTAAATCGAAGGCAGTTCATCCATTTTGTTACATTGACGTTCCGTCAAAGTAACTACTTGTGGAACAGTGGTAAGTGAAGGACTGCCATGACACACTATGTATACGACTAGTATTTATACTTTCACAGATCAAAATTGATATTTTTGCGAGTGAATACTCATAACTGAATCTGATTTAATCAATTATAGTCCTATTATATTGGCACATTTAATTTAATTCCATCCCATTCTAGAATATTGAATAAAGCCATTCCTTTGTAGATAGACCTGGTTTGGATTATGGTAAACCAGATCAGTTTATTTGCTGCATTTCATTTCAAGATTGAAAATGTCTGGTTGTGAGTGTTATAAAGAAATATGGGGCAATATCTCTGAGAAATTGCACTATTGGGAATGGAAGAATCTTATTCTAAAGCCAATAACCATATATTTGATTGCTACATTAATAGCTTGGATTCCGGTTGTATTATACAGGTTCAAATTCAGTATCATGCATATGGGACCTCATGGTTTTCCCACTTATCCCAAATTCTGGCAATAATCAGTTGTGAGATCATAGGCATTCGATAGAATGAATATAAAATGAAATTATTTTCATATACGTACTACATCTAAAAGATTATGCTATGATATCTCTTTATCTATTTTAACACAGGCATTAACATGCAAAATATCACCACCTGCCATTTGTTACAGACTCCAACCACTGTAACAAACGCTGATTGTAGTTACATCCACCAAACAACAACCAGTTAACACCATCACAAAAATTTGAAGACTATAACAATATGTCATCACTTCTGGTCGATGACATAAAAATGTCCTTTTTCAGCATTAGTATAAAGAGACTAATCACACCCTGAGGTCTGATATTTTCCTCCAGGTTTCACTATATTGTATATTATTACAATCAACTATATTATACAAGTGAGAACAATTGAACAATGATACAATCTTAAGTTCATATTACAATTTAATTGTAAGGCAACATAAATTGTTCCTGGAAAGATTTTTGATTAATGACAGACATGTTTAGCGGGCATTACAGCGTTCATTCAAAACAACTTTTGTTCACTATACATAGTATTCAAAAATCAATTGATAAATGATTGTTAAAAGTAATCCCACGGGGGTCTCTGTGTTAATCCAGATATGGTTACCACTGGATCTAGAGGTAGGAACAACTGAAAACGTGTGAATCAAAATCGGCTTTTATCTGAATTCAATAAAATTCTCAATAAACTAGCTAAATAAATCTGTAATTTCATGTTGTTCCTCTCCCACTTATAACTTCTGAAATGTATTGTTGCTAAAATTGGGTTCTACAGATTGTCGTTATCAGGCAACTCTTTCAATATATATACAAGGCACTTACATACAAAATGTTACCACCTGCCATTTGTTACAGACCCTGACTATCAAACACCAACAACAAAAATGATGGAGAGTACAACTTGCGGTGATGACGTCAAATACTATATCTGAA